CCCTGGTTCACGCTTGTTCAGTCTATAAAGGCGAAGTATAGTATTATAGACAAGGATGTGTACAACTTTAATAAGTCTAGCTTCCTAATAGGCAAGATCTTATTGCAGCTAGTAGTAATAGGCTTAGAGAAGCCTAGGAAGCAGAAGAAGATCTAACCTAGCAATTATAAGTAGGTTACCCTAGTACAAGGCGTTAGGTTAACAGGGAAGGTTATCCTACTATTCCTTATCCTTACAGGCAAGGTTCTTATCTCTAACTAGTTTACTAAGGACCTCCTATAGGACTAGGTTATTAATGTTAGTCCTACTAGCTAGACTACTAATAATCTAGCACTTGCCTAGCTCCACTACTTCAATACGCATGCGAAGCTAGTTAGGGTCTACTAGCTACTTATTATTAATAGCTATAAGAGCCACTACTTAGTGGCTTTCCAAGATCTCTGCAGAGAGAAGAAGATAATCACTCTCTATATGCCCCTGCACTTGTCGCACCTGTTGCAGCCACTTAACGTCGCCTGCTTCTTGCCACTAAAGCGCCTGTATAGCGATAAGGTTTTAGCCTTAGCACGCAGTTATATCTACTATATTAATAAGGAAACCTTCCTACTAGCCTTTAAATTAGTGTTTAGTAAGGTATTTACTAGAGAGAACATTCGCGCAGGCTTTAGAGGTACTAGGCTAGTCCTACACAACCTAGAGGTGGTGTTATTAAAGCTTAATGTGCGCCTGCGCACGCTAACGCCACTAAAACCTAGCAACGTTGCCTAGGAGCTAAAGACACTACGCACTGCTTACAAAGTAGAGGAGCAGTTAACTCTAATTTAAAAGTAGATTTAAATCTATTAAGGGTCTCTAGCAAGTTTATTAGATAAGCAGGTTAAATAGTTAGCAAAGGGCACTTAGTAGATAGCTTATAATATAGTGTTAATATAGGAGGAAATAGGCTACCTTTAAGATGCTATAGAAGCGTCTACAAAGCACAAGACCTGTAAGTAATAATATATACACATAGAGGAGACCCTTATAGTTAGCAAAGTAGCTAACTTAATTACTAAAAAGGAGGGTAGGGGTTGTAGTAAGGGCAAGACACCTATAAAGAGGGTGCGTGTTAGACAACACTATAGGCGTTATAGTAAGATTAGACACAATTCCTGCACTTATAAGGTAGAAATAGAGGATGTAGATAATAGTAAAGCTTCTAAATAATACTATCTAGGCCTATAAACAATTATTTATTTGTGTTGTGTTGTGATATAGCGCTGCGCAGGCGTTCTGTTGTTGAAAGTGCGGCGCTCAGTTGGGTGCGGCGCTCGCTTGTGAAACACGTTATAGTTTATTAAGTAGAGCTACTACTATAGCAGGATTAGGAGTTATTGTAGCTATTATAGCTGTTAAGACTATTAGAGCTGTTAGCTTAAAATTAGCTAGACATTGAATGTACATTAAATAACTGTTATAGGCCTACAAGTCCTACTGTTGCCCACAGTACAATGCCATGATTTCCTGATTTCAACAATGGAAAAACTTTTCCCGATGTAGGCAGAGAGGTGGTACTTGCTAGAGAAGATAATAAAGGGTAGGATAGACTAGCCCCTTCGCGCAGATGCCTTAGATAATACTAGTCTACTCTTAGTCGCCCTGCTGCACTGCCTTTGGTCTCCCTTAACGCTTAGAGCCTGTAACAACAGCTCCTATTAATATAACGCCTATTATAAAGCTAGACTTATTAAAGTTATAGGTGTCTTTATCTTATATACTATACTTAGCTTTAGTATTCTCTACTAGTTAGAACTAGTCCCTAATTACATTAGGATCCTTATACAGAGCTCTCTTATAGTTATACTTACAATTAAATTTAACTTTAAGCTCTAGCTAACATTTTATAAAGTTGGCAGCCTAGTTCTTGCTAACGTAGGGCTAGTGGCGCTTAGTAAGCAGAGAATTAGCTAACGTGTTCTATCAGTAAGCTGCGCATATCAGTATCCTGCGCACCCCACCAAAACGCGCTCAACTCAGCGTGCAATTGCTCCACAACCACACGGTCAAGTTAAGTGAGGTTTTGAAGCAAGATAGATTAGATAGCTCTACATTGAGTCCTATTGTGGCCTTGCACGTGGCATTTGCTACACGTTGGTGGTGCTCGCTGACGTCGCGGGGCAGCATCAGCCTGGACCTCCTCTTCAACCACATTGTCAGCCTGTAAGACTAGTAATTGTGCTTGCTTAACCTGTAGAGCTCCTCCCTGTGCTATATATTGTCTACGCCTTTAACGCTTACGTTGCTGGCGTTGGTTTAAAGCACGTAGCTTTGTATTCTCTTGAGCTAGGATTGTTGCTGATTGCATTGCGAGCTGACAGCCTTTCACAAGCTGAGAGATAGCTTGACTAGTTGGGCTTTGTGATTGACGCTTAAGGAGATCTTGAACAAGGCAAGCTTGCTGCTGAAGCTGGTCAACTGTACGTGGTGTCTCTGCTGTCCATGGCGCTCTATCTGCTGCTGTTGTCCCTGGTGGTGATGGTGTCCTAACTACAGTAAGGCACGTTAGGACACGCTCTGTATTGAATGGGATAAGCCCTGTAGCTTGAAACCCAGCCTTGATATTGCTCTCTGATAGAGCAGTTGGTCTAATCCTCAGGTACATCCATAGGAAGTCAAGCTTGTTAACATCGAAGATGCTCTGGCGGGCAAGCTCAGACACCTCATGTCCGTACAGCACCTTAAGAGGAGAGTAGCAGCCAACGTCAAGTGGCTGGAGGAGGTGTGAGGTGTGAGGAGGCATACAGAGAGTGATGATTAGGTTGTCTGCACAGTACTGATCAAACTCAGGTGTAGCATAGCTGCTGTGACCATCAAGGATGAGTAGCCAACGAGCACCTGATGAGCGAGTCTGTGTGTGCCTGTTGAAGTGCTTCACCCAGTCAAGGCCTAGCTCATCTGTTGTCCAGCTGTTGTCACTAACAGCAACAGTCCAGTTAGGTGGGAGGTCTTGATACTAGCTGGCCTGGTGGAGCTTCCCTGCTAGTATTAAGAAGGGTAGGATAGACCAACCTAACGCGTTAACACACTCAATTATTGTCACCTACTTGCGATTGCCTAGCTGAACAACAGTAGCGCGACTAACTGTGTTAGAGCTAGTAACTACCTTTAACGTTAAATCCACCCCTATTATAAACCTAGTCTTATTAAAGTTGTAGACGTCCTCATCAGGTATCCTATATGTGAGGCGTGTCTCCTCTACCAGCCTGAACCACGCGCTAATCCTGACAGGATCTTCACAGCGTGCCCTCTGAGAGTGGAATTTCCTATTCTATTTTGTCTGAAGCTCTGGCTGACGGTTGATGAAGCGTGACACCCAGCACTTGCCGATAGGTGGGGGAGGAGGATCTTGGCTGTGGCCAGCGAGTAGCGCGTCTGCCATACGTCGTACGTCAATAATCTAGGGTGGAAACCCGCGACAGTCAAGGTCTAAGATCCACTAAATAAGGGACTGCTCTTTAATAGGGCTAAGCTTTTAGTTAACTAATGTTGTCTTGTGTTTAGGATGGATACCCTTAAGACGCGTCTGCAGTGTTAATTCTAGAACATTATAGGCTGCAGTAAGGCAACATTTAGATTAATAAGGATTATTTTAAAAAGAAGCAATAGCAAGGCTTAACCTGCCTTCTTTTAAACTTTGTACAGGTAGTTAATGTGGTGTTATAGTTGATGAGATAAGACGCGTTGAGCGCGTTTTGGTGGGGTGCGCAGGATACTGATATGCGCAGCTTACTGATAGAACACGTTATATCCTCTACATTAGCAAGCTAGGGTGGGTATCCTTGCTCGTCTAGCTTCAATACATGCTAGACAATCACCTCCTCCTTAGTACTAGTTATCCTTATTATGTTAGGCTTGCAATCGCGTTGTGAAGAGGTTCTAGTAAGGCGTGTGCCTAGGGTGCTTTAAGAGACCTAGTATATTGCTGCAGTGTATCACACGCTTAGTGTCGCGTCTTGCTAGATAGCCTAAAGGGCAAGCTGTATAACCTAAACTATCACCGAGTGTCCCACATCACCGAGTGTCCCAAAATCTCTTGGCAGCCTCAACCTATGCTACAACTCCTTAATTTTATCGCTATTAAACAGGGAGCCTGTGTATATTGTACTAGCATCTAATTCTAAGGACACCTCTATATCCTTTTTGCATATTCGCGTATTATGCCTAGTCCTACCACAGTTCCTACAGCGCCGAAGAGCTAGTTAGGCTAGTTCTTGACCACTACTACCACAAGCCTTCTTGGATTGCTGAGGCGCTATAGATGCCTTAGCAGCTACCTGCGCTGCAGCAGTCCCATACTCTATAGTACCACCCTGCTGAATCCGCTTGCGCTTACGCGATTTTCGCTTAGTTATCTCTGCTAATTGCTCTTCAAGCTCATGGATCTGAGCATGTTAAAGCGCATTTTTATACAGCATCAGCTCACCACCTTTTATAAGCTAGGAGAAACCAGCCTAAGCTATAACAGGTAAGTAAGTAAAGGAATTATGTATAAGCTTTAATTAAGATCTAAACTTATAGGTATTGCTTAGAGTCTTTAACTGCTATAGCGTCTCTAGGAGGAGGGGTTCTAGCAGGGTACGTAGCTGCACTTTAAGGCAATCTAATACAACCTACGTGTTAATTAGGACTAGCCCTACTACCTTAAAAGCCTTTTAATAGTTCTGCTCTGTAAATATATTAAAAAACGCGTCCTTAAAGGCAGGGAGGAAGCCTTCTTTGTTAATATAGAAGACGCGTCAGCGTGCCAAGTCTCTAACACGCTAGGAGTACCTGCGCTTCAGCAGTAAGAAGCAGACCACATCAAGCGGCTGGAGGATGTGCGATGAATGGGGGGGCATACAGAGGGTTAGGATCTTGTGTTCAAGGCACTAGTCCTTAAAATGCTGGTTAAGGTGGCTCTTATAGCTATCTAAAATAAGCAGCTAGTACCCCCCTACCTAGCGCGTCTTTGTATGCGTGTTAAAGTGCTTTAACTACTCTAGACTAAGCACGTTGTTTGTCTAGCTATTCTTAGAGACTAAGAGCTTCTAATTACGTAGTATTAAAGCCTCCTTATACTAGGCAGAGATGTGGACGCATCCCTTGTAGATAATAAAGGGCAGGGTCGCGTACCTAGCAGCACAGATGCTCTAGATAACTGTAACCTACTTACAATTGCCTAGCTAAACAAGCGCAGGTTAGGCACGTCTCTCTGCACCTGTGACGACCTTTATAGAGCTAATCACACCTATCTAGAAGCTAGTCTTAGTAAAGTTGTGCACATTGTTATTATAGACACTATACTTAGCTTTAGTCTCCTCTACTAGCTTAAACCACGCGCTAATTATCTCTAGATCCTCCTAGAGTATTCTCTGCCTATCCTTTGCTTAATTAAAGGCTATTTTAAGCTTAGGCAAGCGCGTTACAAAGCAATCAGCCCAGCACTTGCTAATAGGCTTGCCACCGCGTACAGCCAGCAGTTTATCAGCCATATCTACCACCTCGCACAGCTAGGGCGCAAATCCTCGCAAGTCAAGGTTGAGTATGTATTGGATGATTGTCTGCTGTTCAGTCGCAGTGAGCTTCTAGCAGTTGGGGGCAGCTTCTGCGCGAAATGTGAGTCCTTAGACATAACAAGAGAGTGTACAGCGATCAATGTTAAATGCCTCTGCAGCAGCCTAGTGGCTTCAGAATTGTCTAGATTTCAAGGCTTTAATAGCAAGCTGAAGCCTCCCTTCATGTTCAAGTAATAACGCGTTTGGTAGTTGAGGCATGTTAGAGAGAGAGAGTAGGTAGAGGGCTTGGCAAGTTTTGGGACACTCGGTGATGTGGGACACTTGGTGATAGTTTAGGTTATCTGTTTTATTTAAAGGCTTTTTTACGTTGTTGCGTTGAGGCATTACAGGGAGAGTGAAGTTCGGTGTAGTCTTGGCAAAAGTGGCCAGCTCGCTTGGGTGGCCAGCTCGCTTGTGGAGTACGTTATAGAATTAGCGCGTGAAGGTTGTCCTGCGCGTTGCTTGCTTAGTGTAGCTTAAAGAACTCTGTAGATAGCTGCAGCACGTTGCTAAAAGAGTGTCGCGTCTTGTTTAAGAGCCTAGAGCGCAAGCTGTATCTAAGCTTCTTTTAACGTGTCTGAATAGTGTTGTTGTAAAGACATTGGTGTAGGAAGAGTGGTTTGGTGGGGGCTTGGCAAAAGTGATTCTCTCGCCTGTTGATTCTTTCGCCCGTGGGGTACGTTATCTCTTTTTATTAAGAAGTAATTCTTAGGTAAAGTCTTAGAAAAAAGGCAGATTTTCCGGGTGAATAGCGGGCGTTGGTTGACTCTGGGCGTTGATTGACCTAACACGGTAAAACACGTTATTGCATACCGTGCCGGAGCTCGTGCCGCACGGTTCCGCGTTCCGCACGCGATCACCAAAACAACAAAATATCCTCAACACTACAACTTAACAACACAATAACTTTAGAAGACACACTTAAAGACACACGCGCAGCTAATACGCGCAGTAAACTTTACTACTAAAAAATTATAGATATATATAGTGTTAATTATTTAATATTATTGTAATATTACTAAGGTGTTTGCAGCACTATGCAATAGAAGATTAAACAACAACAGAACCTCACCCCCTATAAAGAGCTAGAGCTTGTTAATTACATAGATTAACTCTGCAGAGAGCACCTTCTGCCTACGCGCGATATGGTTTAACATTTTGCCTCTATTATCTGCGGATTTGAGGTTAGGAAGACCTGGGTTACACGCTTCGTCCAGCGGCATCACGAAGTGCTTACTCCACAGTGGACCTCCGCCATGGCCTCCGAACGTCACGCCGCTGATTCCTATAGTAAGTATAGCTTATACTTTGACATGTTAGAGCTTAAAATAAGCAAGAAGGGTATAGAGCCTAAGCACACATACAATATAGATAAGAAGGGCTTTATAATTAGGAAGATTGGCAAGCAGAAACAAGTGTTCAGCAGGACAAGCTACAGCAATAAGCGCTTCTGGCAGACCTTAGAGGATGGCAATAGAGAGTAGGTAACGCTTATAGCGTGCGTTGGGGCTTCTGGAGTTGCACTTCCTCCAGGCCTGATTATGGCTGGAGACTCTGGCAACGTCCAAGACACATAGGTGTGAGATATTAAGCAATTAAAGCATCGCTGCTTCGTCACAGTCACCCCAAGTGGCTAGAGCAATAACAACGCTGGCCTTAGATAGCTACAATAAGTCTTTAACAAAGAAACTAAGGCCTTAGCTTGTTGCAAGTGGCAATTACTTATTATTGACAGTCACAGCAGCTATATAAGCCGCTTATTTCTAACGTACTGTTATTAACATAAGATACTTGTGGCAATATTTCCTCCCTACAGTACTTACACGCTCTAGCCAGCTAATGTTGTCCTCTTTAAGCCGCTATCAACAGCGTACTCACAGCAATTAACACAGCAGACTTAGCGCTCTAAAGGCTTGTTGCTGGTGAAGAAAGGCAGCTTCTTCTTGTTATTTTGGCCTGCTTAGCTGCAATTATTTACTAAAGACAACATACTTAAAGCCTTTAAGGCAACAGGCCTTCAGCCGCTTAATTGCGATAAAGTACTCAAGCGCTTCCCTAAAGGAGCTGCTACTCTGTCTACCCCTCTGCCGCCTAAGGCAGGTACAACAGCACACAAAATAATAAGGAAGTTAGACTCTATTATAGGCAATAGGTACTCTAATAAAGCAAGAGCTCTCTGCTATAAGGTACACCACCTTGCAATTAAGAATAAGCTACTTAATAATAACATACAAGGCCTTATAGAGTTGCTTTTAATTAAGAAGAAGTAGGATAAGAAAAGCAAAGTGCTTACTTTAGTTAAGCTATTGTTAGACTACTAGGGTGGCGCAAAGTGGTGGTTGCCTTAATTGTTTAAGGAAGCCTGCTATAGAGAGTAGATTATAAAGGAGACTGTGCATGCAGAGAAGCTTAAAAAGGCTAACATTAAAGAGCTTAAAGCTGCTAATAAGCTATACAACAACAAGATTAAAGAACAGAAGCGCAAGGCGGCTGCTGCGGCGAAGGAAGTGCGTGACCGCAAGTGCGCGGAGGAACGCGTAGCAATCAATGCTCGCAAAGCTCAAAGACTCAAGGATAAACAAGCTCGCAACGCTCAAAAAGCCAGCCAATTGCCTAACAAAGGCAAGCGCAAAGCTTCAAAAGCACCTCAGGCACCTGCAGCCAAAAAGCGTCGTTCTGCGCAGCCTCGAAGTGGTGCTGTTGCTGCAGCGGCTGCTCCACCTCGCGGCACTCACACAACCCACAGCAGCCGCACCGCAACATTATATAAATAGTGCTTTCAGCAAATAAATTGCATACATCAATTAACTATAATACTAACAAACCTCGTGATAATTACTATTGTGGCTGTTTCTACAGCCTCATTTTGCTATGGTGCGTGAGGTGGGTGCTGCGTGCGGAACGCGGAACCGTGCGGCACGAGCTCCGGCACGGTAACGTGGTCCACCACCGAGCGGATCACCCCACCGAGCGAATCACCAAATGCAACTATATATCTTTGAACGTGAATAACTCAACACAACAACAAGATATAATAGTGCGTAATAGCTTGAATTAATTGCCTATCTCTACTGTATCTTTCTTGCATGTACGCTTGTTGTGTACTGTGTTGCCACACCTCCTGCAGCGCGGAATACCCCTGCTGCTAGCACCTGCCTGCACTCTCCCCTCACGCCTCTCTACTTCAAGTTGAACCTCAGCATCCTTTTAGGTAACTATTACCCCTGCTTCTACCTGTGATAGAGTCCTCCCCTTCTATATTTGCTTCTTCTTACGCTTTTTACGCTTAGAAGTAGCCTAATTTGCTTGCTTAAGACTATCTATCTAAGCTTTAAGCAACGTGTGTAAGTGTACCTTTAAAGTTAACCCCTTTTTAACCTGCAGCACTATCTTAAGAATAGACTTAGGTAAGGAACTCCTATAGTCCCTTATCCTCTTAAGAATTAGTGTTGTTTAAGCCTCTATTTCCTAGGCGTTGCTTAGTGTTTTAGGCTGCTAAGGGGTACTCCTAGGTAAAGGTAGTGTTAGTGTATAAGGCTTTACTTTAAGCCTTAATAGCACTACCTCTAGGTTATCTAGAACTAAGCTAGTTACTCTAAAGCTTGATAGGATATTGTCCTTTAAGAAGGCCTAGTTAAATACTAGGGCAAGTGCAGCTAGGAAGGCTTTCTTGTCAACGTAGTTAATATAGCAGTTTGCCAAGACTTAGATCTCCTCCTTATACGCACGCTTTAGAGGGGTAAAGCAACCTACATTAAGTAGCTAAAGGATGTGTAAGGTGTAAGGGGGCATATAGAGGGTAATAATATTATTCTCCTTATAAAGATCCTAGAAGGCAAGTAACTTGTAGCTCTTGTAGCTATTAAGAATTAGTAGTCTGTAACTACCTACTTTCTTAACCTCTGTGTGCTTAATAAAGTGCTGTAGCTAGGCAAGCCTAAGCTTATTTATTGTCTATCTATTATTACTAACCCCTATTCTCTAATCCTAAGGGTTATAATACTAGGCCTAGTTATAGTTCTTAGCTTTAAAGATAATAAAGGGTAGGATAACCTACCCTGTAGCGTTAATAGCAGCAATTAATGTTACCTACTCCCTGTTACTAGGCTGAACCCTAAGTAGCTTAAGGCGCCTCTTAGAGGCTGTAACTACCTTCACAGACCCCCTAACGCCTATCTAGAAGCTAGTCTTATTAAAGTTGTACATGTCTTAATCTAGGATACTATACTTAGCTTTGACGTTGCGTACAAGGTTAAACTAGGGGCTGATAATAGCTAGATTACTGCAGAGGACTTGCTAGTGATCACAGAGTCAAGTCACCTGAGATTTGACCTCAGGCCGGCGTTGGATCAGCCTATAGGCCCAGTTCTCCCCAACTTGGCCACCACTACGCTTAGCTAGTAGCTGGTCAGCCATTCCACGTACGTGGCTAAGCGTAGGGGCAAAGCCTCTAGCGTCAAGCTTCCTTATATATTGTATAACTGCCTCCTCTTCATGCTTCTAAAGCTTAGATGAGTTGGGGTGGGTATCGCGTTGTGGGGTTCTTCTGGCGCCTTAATGGCTAAGTGTACTTTAAGGAACCTTGTAGATAGCAGCAGCGCGTCGCTGGCTTAGTGACGCGTTAGATTTCATTGCTTAGGTAGCAAGTATAACTCTATCTGCACAGGAAAGTAATTCAAGATTAACTAGTTAAGCCATTGTAATTGATAGTAGAAAGCGTTGTGGTCTTGGCAGAGTGATTCGCTCGGTGGGGGGATCCGCTCGGTGGTGGACCACGTTATATGCTCGCGTTAGATACAGCTTGACTGCTCGAACACGAATGTAATCTTGCGATGCACCACGTCTGGGTCAGTCACCCATCAGCCCCTTACCAGCTCATGAACTCTACCTTTACCTCACCTTGCCGATGAGAGAGATTAATTAGCGATGGGTAGTCACTTTAGACACCATACATACTGCATCGGATTGCTCCCACACTCTTCTTTCTGCTTATTCTAACTGCAGCTATGTCAGCCCGCGCGTGCGCAACACAAAAGATCTGTGTTCGCTAAAGTTCGCGACATGCAGAAGCGAGCTCGATAACGAGGGGGAGTTCACGCCAGACAAAAGACGCATGAGTACCTTCATTCAGAAGTGTCATTGGAGGCTGTCATGTCGAGCTCAAGGTGAACTCAGCAACTTACTTGAAACTTCCCATGTCAAACACTCTGTCAGGCAGCCAACCGCTTGCGAGGAGTCGAACTCCAAGTCACGATGGGCAAGCACATCAACGGCCGCTGCCTAAATCCTTAAATCCCCCGTATCTATGGAAAATATCATGTTAGTTGACGCATCTGCTCGCCCACCGCATTGATGTTTACCACACAACGTGCAAACGACATGCGTGTGCGACGTAACGTAGTGACTCCACCTACCTCCACCTGTCTAAACATACAAGTATGTTGTCAATGCCCTCGTGTTGTTAGGAGTGCCATGTTGCCGTTTGTCGAGATGGTTGAACAGGCAACCCCGGACCCACCTGACTCACGTTCATTGGGGATGCGGTATGATGGCCAAGATTACAAATTGAGCCGCGGAAGCAAATATGAGATGCCAGATGTGATGTTCAGGAGAAGACGGTTAATGGGCTTGCATCCTGGGTCAGCTGAAGGTTGTCTGTTAGTCAGGACAATGATGCGAATGTTAGGCTGGTTGAAAGCCTGCAGTTGGGTCGCCTCTTGAAGAGTTGCGCGTCAAGTCAAACGTCGAACAGTAGCTGTGGCGTTGAAGGCAGTGATGTAGGTGCGTCGTCAAATCAAAACCTTTAGTCGACATCAGTGGCGGCGAACCCGTGCAAGCCGACTTGCTAAGCTGAGTCTCTTACTGTACATGTGGTGATTGGTGTGGCGTAGGTGGGCTGTGCTCGCCACACGACATTTCGCAGTGTTTCGCCATGAGTCCATCCAGGCCTATGGTAGAGCATGTGACGTGGTACCTCAGAACGATTCACTGCACCGCCACACATTAGCAATACCATGTTTGCGCTCGGTCCAACGTCAAAAACGCACCGGCAGACAATACGAGCGCTTCGTTGGGCTGCAGCGTATTTTCGGAGCACTACTGTGTTACGGTGAACGCTGTCCAGCTCGCGTGATAGTGCGCTACTGATGCTCAGCCTGCAGTGCGGTCTGCCAACGTGGCGTGGCGTAGTCTCGCAGGATGCATTATTGTTTCTTCCACGCAATAGGGCTGGCGATGCTTCGTGAACCCGAGGACGCTGCACCAGTGCACCATGACAACATCGTTTGTATACTCGTATGAGTCTCATTCCGCAAAACAATACCTGTCCAAAGCTTGGACGCGGACGAAATGCTCTTGTGCTTCGGTCCTCCAAGGTCAAGTTTTGATACCCCTTTGACGGTGAGACTTTGCTTTCGCACGCGGAGCAAACAAAGCTTAAGAGTCATAGAAAGGCATGGCGCCTGAGAAACGCAAGGTGCGTTGTCTGATAACGGTGTGGGTGCTAAGGAAATGTTAATGTTCGTAACCGCGTTGTGTGGGCTCGCTAGGAACGCAGCCCGGCTTCAGAAACTAGGATAAGTGCAGTTTCGATCCAATAGCAGCCCACGGTGACGGTCAAAATTCGAAATGAACTGTGTGGCGAAAAAGTGCAGGGCACGCATTGACGGGAGTGCAAGAGCATCGTACCACGCTTCATGCAAAACACGGGTAGGGGCGTTCCGTGCTAAGCCAGTCAAAAGCAGCGCGCGGCGCAGATGGCCTTAATCTGGTAAGGCACTCTTCTCGCGGGGAGATCATATCCATGCAGCACCACCGTCAATGTTGTTGTTGTTCGTAGTTCCCCGTCGAATAAGAGTGGAGCCGGAGGAGCGGTGGGCAGCAGTAGTGGGCCAGTATCAACGAATACAAAGTACTTGATTAAGGAGGGGCAGCAAGTAGCGGTAAACATTAACATGCTCCAAGCGGTGACTGGTACACTCTGTGAGACATTAGAATTTTTCACGGCAGGGAAATTAGGCTTCGTACTGTGCGTGAAGGAGAGGGTCTGAGCAGCTCGGCGCGGCTCTGATGTGATGACAGGGCTTCCCCAGCAGCAAAAGCAACCGAGCCGGGACGACGTTAGAGGACTCCCGCTGTTTCGGAAGGACTCACTCCAGAGAGCAGCCGTGTGCCGCGGCGACGGCTCGTGTATAGTCTCTGTACTAGCCAAGGGGAAGGGTACCGTACCAAAGTTGACGAAGCCATCCCGAGCTGAACGAGACGACGTGACTTTTGCTGGGAGCCAAACGATGCTGTGTAGCATGACTCCATCAGGTTCGGTAGCTGATGTTGTCCTCAGCAGATTTGACTTGCGTACGACATGCATGTGGGAGCAGGTACTTGCGCAGAGGCCAGCTTGCGGCGCGCCGCTGGGGCTCTGGGAAGTGGGCCGCGCTCTTGTCTGCGCACAGAACCCGCGCATCAACGAACGGCCAGCCCAAGGGCGGCCGAAGGAGCCTGCTTCTGGAGGACGGAGCGGCGGAGAGTGGATTGTTGGCTGTTAAAAAGCGCCGGTGGAGTGTTGTGAGGGCCAACAAACGAAACGCGCTGAAAACAGTGACAGGAGGATGGTGCAGGGTTGGGACGTCGACTGTGGCACAGCAGCGTTGGTGAAAAGCACAAAGATGCATCTTTGGTACAGCTTACCGCATTCCCGTCGTTCAGCGAACGAGAAGCGGTTGCCAGCGCCATGCTGCGAGGCTCGGTGGCTCGCCAGGGTTACGGGTATATTGTAAGCAATGGCACGGTGTTCCAAATATTACCCACCCAAACACACCAGCTGGGGACATGCGGGCAGCCTGCCCGTTCCTGCACGCTCCCTCTCTAATAACGCGCTGCTCCCATCCGATCCGTCAGGCATCAATGAGCCTCTATCACATGTGCGCCCAGTGGAGGCACCGTCGAACGCTCGCCTTGTGGCCGGAGTCAGAGGCACCTTCCACGGCCCGCAGGTCATCGGCCCAGTAGGACGTTAATGGCGATGGTCTTGTCGCAGCACAGGCACAGCGATGTCAGTCCTGACCCGGAGGAGAGGAATGCTGCTCGGGGGTCGAACAGGGGTGGGATGAGCTTGGGCTCTGTTAGCGGTAAATGGCGCGGACAGGGGTTTATGTTAGTGGCTGAGGCTAGCGTTTTCCTGCCCATGCGAACTGGGAACCCTGGCAGTCGCCCGTCCGCGCACGAAGGCTCAAAAGGAAGGCACAACCCACAGCCGGCGGTGGCCCTCGAACCCATTTTACACATCTTACCAAGCAACTCTGGACGTCACGTCTACCCGTACGATACAGGATCCGTAAATCTGGATCCTTCTGGCATACTCTAGCAACTGTTCGACCAACCCACCAAATGTGCAGCAGTCAGACCCGGATTTTCCTTTCCTCTTGCGCTGCTGCTCGAACCTTCACACCCACTCTCTTCTGCGATCGCACACGGAGAACCGCCCTCAGTTTGCGCATTCCACGGTGAGCAGGCATTGGCCTGGGCTCTATTCCCCTTCAACTACCCCAACCTTTACCTCGACCTACATACGGCGACGTCACGAACATGTACGCGCCCCAATACCATCAGCCCCCAGGCTACTCCGTGCCCCACGACGTGCATCACCGCACGACCCCGCCAATGTCCCCTGGCCAGAGCGCAAACTTCTACTCGCCCCGCTATGGTATGCCCTCGACTCCACGCGCCAGCCCCAGCGTCAAGGGCCATGCGCGCCGCGCCTCGACCGCCGTACCACAACAGCATTATTCGCATGCTTCAGCGGGGAGGCCTATGCATCCCATGCAAGGCGCATATCCTACGCCGCGAGCAACGCCCGAATATGTAAGTGGTCTCGATTACGATTACCTCTACGCACGCCCGCGAAAGGCCCGTCGCGACACAGACGCTTCTTTTCTCAAGCACTCTACTCGCGAGAAGAGGCGTCGTCCGTCACAGTCGGCGCACTACGTCCACCGAGTCTTCTACGACGAGGGATATGGGGTTGAATATCAGGCCGAGGAGGACGTATACCGTCACCCGCCACCACCGTACACGCAACACGAACGATACGACACGTATAGGGATGCTGATCGCTTTTATTATGATCAGGTCCCAATCTTCGAAGAGCCCGCTAAACCTCGTGCTCGACGTGCTTCTCACTCAACTCGTGCGCCGCCACCACAAGAGAAGACGCCCAAGCGCCCTGCAGCTACCAAGCCCGCTTCCAAGGCTACCGAAGCGGATGCGCGCCGCGCTGGCATTCCTGCTGGCTACTCTTACAAGAACTGGGACCCCACTGAAGAACCGATCATGCTCCTCGGCAGTGTCTTCGATGCCAACTCACTCGGCAAGTGGATCTACGACTGGACTGTCTTCTACAACGGCCCTGCCACCCCTCTCGCGGAGATGGCTGGCGAACTCTGGCTCCTACTCATCCAACTCGCCGGCAAAGTCAAGAAGGCAGACGAGAACATGAGCAAGATTCGCAGGAAGGAGAATGCTGAGATGGTTGAAGACTTCCTCATGAGCGGCGAGCGTCTTTGGATTCGCTTCGCCAAGCTCCTCAAGACATGTGAAGACTTCATGTGGAAGGCTGCAAAGAAGGAGAGCGGCGACAAGAAGCCCGTTTCCATGGGCAAGAACAGCGGTCGCGAGTTTGTGGAGTCCATCTTTGGACGCGACCGTGAGCTTGAGAAGACTGAGAAGCTCATGACTGGCATGCGTCTCTGGAGCATGCGTTTCGATGCCAATTGCGAAGAGATCCTTCGCTGCCCCTCTGCTTAGCGCGTTCACATGCCATTGCCCGGATGCAGTGGCACTGGCGTTGATTCGGTCTGTTTTACGCTTTGTTATTATTTGTTTTGCGCTACTTGCTTCACGCGAGATACCCTTTCTTGCTGTCTAATTGCTAATCTGCTGCATCTTCTGCTCTGGACGATTCTTACTGTATACTAGTTTCGGGTTGAGACACGGAACGTTCGCAGCATCTGGGCGGGTCAAAGGAAAAGTCACTTTCATTGCGACAATACCCCCTTTCTTACTCAATTGGTTTTACTCCCGCGTACAGCATGGTGTTCAGGCTGGCAGTGTCCAGATTCTCCTTATGTCTTTGGGTCAGCAACTAGATCAGAGGTGGCACCTACACCACTTCATAGGCTTGGAACCGCAAGGTCAAAAGTAGTATACCCTTGCTATCAGCAGATCATTTATCAATATCAGTAGCTATCACTCATCTTGCACATTCCCCTCTGGCCCCCACCCCTGCACTTCAGCATATTACATTGTGACATGACCAGCAATGGCGCCTCAAGACTGCTTGGACTTGGTGCACATATTCCTTCTGTCAGCAATGCAATAAATGATCCATCTGACCCCACCCCACCATCCTCAGGTGGAGCCGCCGCCCGCTGTGATGCGCGATGCACCTCATCACATGGGTGTCTCAATGCACCAATTGCGTGTTCGCATGTCACTTTGTACCCTGCTATTGGCCCATACATGACTATTTCACGACCTATGACCAGCCTTATGCGCTGCAGCCTGTAGTCCATCACTGATGCGTGAAATGCCGTCTAGTCTGCCTAGAGGTCTCTACTCGATTGGCTTGTACGCGAGCAGTCGATCGCTTGGATGAAGGCAGTAGCGGCGCTGGGTAGCAATGCTCCTTCCCTTCCAAAACGGGCACTCGCGCAGCAGCAGATGCAAAGAGCGACAATAGCAGAACCTCAGGTCAATGTCAAAATGCTGCACATGTCCCTTTACGTCCCTTTGCGTTCCCTTGCATTATCATACACACCGCCCTGACTAGCGATGCGGCTCTCGCAAGTGCCCGCTGTCATTTCTCCAGGTGCGGCTGCGCAGCGCTCTCCCTTGCCGAACCAGAAAACGGCATTGTTCGACCGACCATCTTCCAAATTAAGAGGCGTCGTTATCGAGCCAGGACAACCCTTTCCAGATCGTCCTATCAACAACCCTCGAAGATAGCAGTACACAGCTCGTAAGCGAGAAAGTGAGCCCTCGCTGTTCAATTCGACATGTGTCAAAGTCGTCCGGCATATGATGGTTGGACGACACAATGTTGCACAAAATGCAGTCGCACGGTTCCAAAACTACTAGCTGGGACACGCTATTATCGCAGACTTATGTGCCTGGAATGATGGTGGGTGTCACAAGCTGAGCATGCTTCCGGATCTTTACTGTTGGTTGGTTCTGGCCATCTCAACCATGCACGGCTGAACTTCCTCACCGACCTCTCACCATCTTTTCCACTGGAAGGACCTGTCACATCTAAGTATCGATGTGCCACTGTATCGCAGAACACAAAGCAAGTCATGATCATGTGCGCTTCCCCATCGAGCACTTGCTCCGGAACGTTGCGCGGTACCGGGTTCATTCTGCGCAACGACACGTCCTCATTGAGAGTGACATTGGAATGGACATTGTCCCAAACAGCAACAACGTCGTACTCACTCTCATCTGCCATGATCACAGACACCGGTCAGCCAAAGACTCAGCTCGGTCGTCCTTCCTTACCACAACCTGCCTGACGTCGCAGTCTGCGAGTTCGCGCGAGTCGTTCAATCACTCCTGCGTTCGCTTCGGCGACGATGCAGAACCAACAGAACAAGGTTTATTTCGAAACGGATCGGCGGCCTGAACGCTGAATGGTTGAAGCGCACCGTGCCGGACCAGTAAATCATCTGTGCGCTGAAGGTTCGGCATCCCGTGGCATGACGAACGCCAACGTCCGACCCACTCTCGTGCAGCTCGTCACGACTACCCCGCAAAGCTGGCAAACAGGTTGAATGACAACGCGAGACAGATTGTGCATCAGATCTGGCAATTCAGGTGGCTGGAAGTCGACAGTGTGGTCACACGGTTGCCCTTCTTCGAACGTATTGCGTAGAAGGCATGGCTGCTTCAAGACAGCCAACGGGACACAGCAGCATTCTTCGGATCCCGCCGAACTTTCAGACACAAGATCAGAAGGACGTGATGTGATGCCGTATGCAATGGCTCATTTGGGTCGCGGCTGCTGGGACGTCAGAAAGGTCAGCTGGACGATGCTCATCATGACACGGATCGAAAGCCGGCACTGCTTGCTTATTTTGACATCATGGTGGCTGGAGCGGGATCGATGTAAGCGCTCGGCTTTAGCCGCGAATAATGCACTCAGCCCAAGAGCAGCATCTTGCTGACAAATTGGATAAGTGTTTTTCTGATCATAGCGAGAGCGATGCGACCTGTTGATCACAAAGTCGAGTTCCAGGCAACACCATCACAGTCACTACGCAGATACGCATGTACGATGTTGTAGGCCATGACGAGCTTGCAGAGACTGATCAGATCACTGTAAAGCAAGTATCATACATCCACCTTCACTAGATCCACTCCAAATCTAACGAACCCGATCTGCGACCCGTACGGCAGAGCCAAACCATACGCTACCTAGCGCCGTAAGATCAGCCCAAACCCCACGTGCCGCGCCCCTTCACGGAGATCCATTCAACGCCCACACGTAAGCGCTCGGGCCCAAATAAGCAAATCAGAGATAGGCATCCATCACCGACTTCACGTCGAACACCCATCCACAGCGGCAACCTACAATCTAGTCACTGAGTCACACTGCTGCCTACACCACACTCCACAGCCAACACGGACTAACATCCAGGATTTGCATTCCCCCTTAGGCGGGCATCGGCTACAGTGACGCATGCGAACCGCACCCCGAATTAGCTTCTCTTACATTACACCGCCTTACGACATGCATTAGACTGCGTATGCTGTGCGACCACACCTCTCGTCGCCCAGCCCCGATGCGCAGATCTCGTAAGCCTTGCCTCGCTTGCGCGTCACACAGCAGCTTGCGGTGGCCGATGGCGTTGGAGCCCGAGACGGGTGTGATTTACCGGCCGATGCAGGGGTGGATGAGTACAGATTTTGCAAGAATATTGACTCCTGAGATAGAGCGGGAGAGCACGATGGTCGTTGGAAACGAGTGGATGTGATCAAGCAGCTTGTAGGGTTTGTGCGCTATGGGACTAGCTGAGTGAGCGAAGTCTGTATCGATTATATAGTAAGGCACGATGGGATACCGTTACATGCAGAATTGTAGACAATGTACAGATGCTCGGATCTGCGACAGTCATCGCGCGTTCCTGTAATCTTGCACGTGAATTGTGACATGACCTCTCATGGGATAGCTTTCGTTGAGAACAAATTTGCTCGTGCGTACGTAGACTCTATGCCCAGTCGCTGGTCGACCAATTTGAAGCCGAGACTCGTGATGGGCGCTTTACAAGGCCGTAAGGTACACACATGGGCTTCCATGAAGAAGGTTTCCTCGGTTCGAGATGTGGAAACGCGGCTAGACCGTCCCTCGTCTACATATCACCTTGCAAGCATCTTGAGGAGGCTCCATTCTCTAGGACTTCAAGACAACCAACGCGTCCCTGCAAGCCTCCACGACCACCGGACTCTTCGCCTCCCCCATTGCTCTCTCCACAGCCTCCACACCTCCCTGCTCCCGTACGGCCTGCAAGCCCTTCTCCACCTCCGCAACACTATGCAAGCACACGACACCCCTATGCCTCAGCTCCTCATCCTCATCATCCGCCAGCCCAAGCAAGAACTCAACGCCCTTCTCCTGCTGCAAAAATGGGCCCACCGTGATCTCTCCGCACGTCAATAGCGTCGCCAGCGCGCCGCCAGCCGCACTCCGCGTCGGCGCATCGTCAACATCCGTCATGGCGAGGAGGAGGTGGAGGCGGTGTTTTGCGCGGGGGCTGCCATCGGCGAACTTCTCGATGCAGTACGGCGAGCCCATCAGGTTGCAGACTAATTGCGCCGCCGCGCGGCGGAGGAGATTGTTGTTGCTGAGCAGCAGGTCGTCAACTACGGTATCGAATGCCGTGCGGATGATCTGTGTTTGGGTTGTTTGGTCGAGCGAGGCGAGGTTCGTGAGCGCGAGCAGCGCTTCGAAGGCGTGAAGTTGCCAGATGGAGGACTCGGTGCGGAGGAGTTGGCTCTGGAGGGGGCGGATCGCGGATGTCGCTGGAAGAGAGATTGTGAAAGCGTGACTTGGATTAACGCTGATGAGGAGGCGGGAGAGGGCTTGGGCAGCGGCTGGCTGTGCTGTAAGTGGGACCGGTGTCGTGCTTGTCTTTGATGATGCTGCCGTTGCGGCCACGTGTTCCCAGATAGCGATGAGCAGTTTAACAGCGCCTTGCTGTGTCATCAAGCCTCTGCTGACTTTGTCGTTGCTCAGGTTTAAGAGAATCTGACTAGTCTGTGCTAGTATGTTTGGTGTGGGCTTTTTGCTGAGCTGGAGTAACAGGGGGACGATGCCGGCCTGGAGGAGTCGTGTACACCTTGCGATAGCATGCTCGTTGTCGAGCAGTTCCTGAGGCTCGGACGGCTTCTGAACATTGGCGTATGCTTTCAGCTGAGCTAATCTGCGATCCTCGTCTGATTGAATGGGTAGGAAGGCTGTGATGTTGGCGAAGATGGTCAGTCCGCCAAAGATGATGCTTCCTGGTGCTGATGGAGCGCTCATTGTCTCAAGGAGCCGCTCGAGAAAACGTCGATCGGCTGACAGGTCTTCGCGAAAATGTGCTTGGAGTGACGCGTAGGCCAGGGCTTCGACAGAGTTCTGTTTGGTGCTAGCGGCATCGGCACTGATGACCATAGACTTGAAACTTGCGAGCAAGTCGCTCTGGTCGACCTTTGCAGGGGTCTTGACCTGAGGGTTATCCGTAGAAGGAGGTTCTTCATCACCTAGCTTGATGAGGATGAGACCAGCGAGAGTAGCACGTCCCTTGTCCGTGCTATCTGCAATCATGTCCAGCCAGTCTCTGCAGTGCAGATTGACGGCTTCTCGACATTTCTTGTCTACACATGCCGCGCTGAGCAGATCGAGTGTTACCTGGATCAGCTTGTGGGATTTCTTCTTTTCGACCAAAGGCACCAGCGTGCCGACAAAGCCTTCTGTGAGGAAAAGAGCGGCCGCAGCTTCGACCGCAATCGGAAAGATAGCCGTAGCTGCTGAGAATGCAATGACTAGATTATCTGCATCGCCTTTCTCTACCCGTTGTGTGACAAACTTCGAAATCAACTCTTTCGCGGTATCTGGGCTCAGTTCGAACAGCTTGATGCTGGCAAGAGTGGCTTGGTCTCGAAGAGTCTTCGGCAGCCGAATGTCAAGAGAAGCAAGAATGACATCAAAACTATCAGCGTCAATGATGTTTTGGAGATGGTTCGCATGGTGGGCTAGTAGCTGCGCGACACCTCTCATGGCGCGTTCTGGATGATCGAGCGCCTCCTCCATGAGCATGGCTAGGCTTAGCTGGAAGACATCTCGATGGCTCTCCTTGAAGGTGGCATCGTCAGGCCAGAGGTTGCGGATGAGCAGGACTTTGAGTAGACCATCAATAGAATCGTCTCCGCGCGGGAACAGCTCATAGTAGGTTCGTGTAGGCCGCTCTCGCATAGCCTGTGCAAGCCACATCTGCGCACCGGTACTTTTCAGCAGCTCGCCGGTAACTTGGTCCAGGATATCATCTTCGTCTTTGAAGTCATTGAGGATTTGCATTGCTTGCTCCGCCTCTTCCTGCTTCAATGGCCGCTCTTTCAGCGCCTTTAGCGCACGCTCGCCATCAGCTTCATCCTTGCTTTGCACCCAGACTTTGCAAATCGACAGGAACTCGCTTTTGTCCTCCTCTTGCCGCAGCTTCTCCCACGCTTCTTTGATCTGCGCATTGTTCTGTGCGATGCTCGTAGCCTCACGTAACTTCCGTGCTGCCGCTGCTAAGTCGCCAGACGCCAGGCTTTCACTTGCGTCCTGCGCAAGCTGCAGTGCTCTCTCCTCCTCGGAGATGGAAGACATGGTTGTAACGATAGTTGGGAAGAAAATTGATGTTCGAGTGAAGTTCACGCTGAGTTGGAGGGATTGTGGGCCCATGCGATCGCTGTCGTTGGGTCGTTTCTGATTGGGCGCACAGACTGTCGTTTTAGATCGACTGCGGGGAGGAGCCAGACACGTCTGCGGCCTGCCTCTCTGACGTTGTCGAGCAGCAAAGCGGTCAGGATCTAGCTAGAGGAAGTCGCTGTGATGAAAGATTTGACGAAGCACAATTGGCACCACCGTGAGAACCGAAACTAGAAATCGAGTGCTCTATTCAACAATGCGTGTAAGAAATGCTCGCCATGCATACAATGCGTCCCAAAATCCCCTCGTAACGCCAGTAGCAGTCAATATGTTCAAATCGCTCAGCTTCGCCCAATCCAAGTATCCAGTACGCCTAAGGCTGCGTTCACCTGGCTATGCCAAAGTTCTGTGCCTGCCAACAACAGCCCTTGAATCATTCCAACGTCCCGCGCGTTCCTTCCACCTTTCTATCCATTTCCGTCATTGTTCGTCTTCTCTGGTTGTTTCTTCCTGATCACACCGAGAATTGTCAATCGCTCCCAGACATCATCCTTGACGAGGACGCGCGTCTTGTCGAATGACATGCCATCAAGCTCACGAAGGTCTCGGCACATGTTGGCAAGCATCATCTCGGTGACTCGACGTCTGATGCGTGTCTCATAGTCAAGTCGTGTTTGGTACTGCTCATCTGCCTCGATGTCGCCGCGCGGAAGGACAAAGCGGTCAGTGAGTTGCTCGTCATCTGGGTTTCGTCTAAGGGACATGACCCTGTTTTCAGAGGCCGAAGCGTAAAAGCGGAGCGTGACGGGATTGTCTCGCCAGTCCAGCTTTGAAAGGGACGGGAACTTCCCAAGCACCATAGCATTCTGGCGCAGGCGGTCGACTTTGTTGCCGACCAGCAGCAGCTCGCTCAGTCTCTTGATATTTAATAGTGGCCGGAGGTCTTGCAGCGAGTTGAAGTTGAGGTTGACCGATCGAATGTTCGGTGTCAGCTGCCCAAAGTTGTCGGGCAACTCTTTCAAGCCCATAGACGCAAGTTCGAGCCGCTGAAGATTCATGAGATGCTGTGTAATACCCAGAGTATATGCCGGGTTGAGAGAGATGTAAAGGTTGTTGACGTCAGTGTTCCTGACGAGGTTTCCCACACAGGTCTCCGCATCCGAGTCGTTTCCCAGGGTCTGATCTCTTGCTGAGAATGTATGAAGACGGCGTAGGTGTTCGAGACCGGTGACATGGGTCAAGGAGTTACCATCAACGTAGAGTGACTCAAGTCTCGGGAAGTGTCCCTCGACGTCGAGCAATGTCATACCGTTACGGCAGATCCGAAGGGATCGCAGATGTTTGCAAGGATCAGACGGCGTGTCGGAAAGTGGGAACTCGTCAAGCTCATTATCGTCAAGGTTTAGGTTTCGGAGCTGCGGCAGGCGATGCACATTGCGCACCTCCAGTAGGCGGTTCTTGCGCAAGTCCAGATCAGTCAAGGATTTGCTGATACAATGTCAGCTCAATGATAAAGGCGATCATTTGGAGTCAACCTACAAATTCGATCGCGCAAAGTCCACCAGATCGATGTCATTGCCCCCAGCATGCAACTCAATTAAACCATCGAGATGCAAGATACTATCGAGCGATTTCAGCTTATTGTTGTCGACCTTCAGCACCCGCAAATGCACGAGCTCAGCAAGCCCGTCTAGGCTGTCGATGTCGTTGTTGGAGATGTCGAGATGCTGCAGATTGCCCAACGTTGCCCAGGAAGTGAGACCGGTAAGCGAGTTGTTCTGTGCATGTAGCCGACGCATAGCATACGGGATGCCCTCGACTTGGCCAATGTTGTTGTCTGAGACGTCGAGCTCTTCGAGGCGGTAGCAAAGCTCGTCCAGCCGGTGCAAACTACCCAAGTTCTTGCCTTTTAAAGTGACTTCGCGAAGATCCTCCCAGTATGGCTCATCTGGCTCGACATCCTGCAATGCTCTCACAAGCTCAGCAGTGCCTTGAGCATACCGGTCCTCTAATGCCTTGGTGTATCGAGTACCATCGTGCTGAACAACAACTCGGTCTGGATGCTCGAACTCGTCGATCTGGTTCAAAGTAAAGTCAGGAAGATCGCTGAGCATGAAGGTGACGTCTCCTTTCAGTGGCGATGGCGGCGCTACCAACAGACCGTCCTGCTTGCCTTGTCCAAGGACTGGTGCTGAGACGTTCATTGAAAGCTCCATTCGATAGTTCTTCGAAGGCACTTCCTCCAGGACCGATAAGTCGCCATCAGTGTTGAACCTTGGTCTTTGATTTGGCCGCTTTCTGCGAAGTGTACTGCCATACGTGGATTGGACGCCCGAGAAATCTCGCTGGGGCTGCCCGAAGTGATTTGGAGGCTCTGTATGCCGTCGGTCCTGATCTGCCCCCTCCCGCTGCGCGAAGGAAATTGTGATGTCACGAACGCGGGCACGCGGTATTCTAGGCGTAGCTGCAGTGCGGTCCTCGAAGTATTGTATCTCGTGCTCAATATCATCCTCATCGGACTCTGGGATCGCATACGTTGTGTGTAGCGTGGGAGCCTTTTGCGCACTTTGTTTTCGTGGCGATTGTGTACTACACGATGTGGCTCGTGTCTCTGTCTTCGTAAAGCTCCAGCCGAAGTTGTTGGAAGCCTTTGAAGGCACAGAGCTTGCGCATGTCATTGGACGCGCTTCATCCTCGGCTTCGTCGTCTTCCAGGAGTGTCTCCGCGGTGGGTTGAGAATGCAGTGGTGTCGTGGTCTGTGCGATGAACTCCTTCGTTTCACTCACCGAGAGATCCGGGATGTTGCCGAACGGGTCTTCTTCACTCTGACTATGGTTCACGCTGCTGTGCTCCTCTTCTGGTATTTGATGCTGTTTGGAAGGGCTCTTATTGCGAACCCAGATCTTCTTCTCACGATTGTAGCTCATGCCTGCGATCTGGTGGGGGATGAGATGTGCAACTGCTTCGGGTGCGAGAGTTGCCACTTGGTCGGAGCGGCGTGATATATTCGTAGCAATCGTGTGTCCCAGAGATGATCCCGCAGATTGGCCAGTCTGAGGGCGAGTATCATTAGGGTCCCATTCGCTGTAGTCTGGGCCGAAGGGTCGAGTGAAGTGATCCTCGATCCTGCTGTCGCCCTTTTCGGTGGTTTCGCTGATTTGATCAGGCTGGACCGCACCGGCCATCCTCATGATCTTCACTGAGTTCACCGATGAACTCAAAAAGGAGTCTTCTTCTCGCTCCTGATACTTTCGAAGATGTTTGATGACACTGGGATCTGACTCGCGCTGTCTGTTGGGGTCGCGCCAAGCAGAGCGCCGACCTTCACGACTGGGAGGACGTTCGAATGTTATTGACGTTGATGGATGCTCGCTTGCATCTCCTGGCATTTCGAACTCTGACAATTCCTCGAGATCATCGAGCCCGCCAGTTGGTCTCCCCTTTGTACGGATGAAGTTCATGATCTTCAGTGCTTCGTCCAAGAAGTCTTGCGTGGTCACCGATCGCTTGCGGTGGTGGCTGCGCGTTGCTTGCCGTTTCATAGTGAACATGGCGACCTCGTTTGCGACTGCAGCCGCTCGGTCTTGCTCATCACTTTCGTCCGACACCATGGAAGGTTCCAACTGCTCACGTATAGTGTTCAGCTTTGGCGAAGCTTGCATAAATGCTTCTGTAGCCTCCATGATCTCTGCTTCGATCTCTTCACGCCTTCGTTGACTAGGAGTCGGATTGCGTGGTCTTAAGATGTGTCTTCGAGACAGGTTATTCGGATCTGCTGCATCGGCGAGGGGTTGACGATTGACATTTAGAAGGCCCTCTTTGATGACTGCCTGAATTGCTGCGTGTGAGTCTTGCGTCGGGAGCGCTCCTGCACCGCTGTGCGAGTCATTCATCTCGCTCTCCTCAAGACTATCGTTGATAGTTCTTCGACGCTTCGGTGTTGGATTCTTGAAGGGCGAGGTTGGGCCGCGCTTGCCATCAGTGTAGTCCGAGTGTTCGTCTTGCGAATCATCCTCTCTTGGGGGCACATGGCGTTTGAACTGTGGCCCCGATCGACTCGGTGTTCTAAACTGGTTCGAGGTGTGCTGCGATGGCTGCTTTGCTCGTGACGACTCACGGCTGTACGACGACTCGACATGGAACTTGAAAGGCGGACGGCTGCCGGGTGGGGCAACATCGCTTGTTGGTGAATCCTCAGGTGCACTGTCGTCCTCATCATCGTGAGTCCCTGACCTCCCTGAAGAGAGTATGGAGTACTCGGCATCGAACTGATACTTGTTAAGCTGGCCCTGCCCAAACGCACTCACTCGACGTGTGGAAGACTGCTTGGCGTCTGTTGCCGGCGACAGATTGCTGTGCACACCGCTGACTTCTTCGACCGACGTCAACCTTGATCTGTTCTGTACTGGTCTTGTTGCCTCCACTCTGCCATCCTGCGCACTACCAGATCTGGGTGAGTCTGGTTTGTATTCCAGTTGGCTCAGTCGCCTGATCAGCCGGTTGCTTGTAAAGGTATCGTGTGCGCCAAAAAGCTTGAGGGGACTTCCTGAGCTCTTTGCTCGATCGGGGCTCAGGAACTCATTGGCTCGTCGTCGATGGGGGGTCTTCGGGTCGTCGTAATCCTCGACAATGGCTGATTCGCCGGCGGTTGGTGGGGTGTCCCTGACAGCTGTTTGTACTGAGGTATTGCTGCGACCCGTACCCTGCGTGGTGTTGCTGCGACCGGTGCCTTGGGTTGTATTGCTGCGACGAGTGTCTTGTGCTGTAGGCGCTCTCTCGGGCGATGGGCTGAGCGGCCGTCTTCTAAACGACCCTTCTCGAGAGTAGCCTCCTCTTCGGAGCTCGACAAAGCGCCCAACATCTGCGATGTCGGGCGTGCCGACTGGCAGGCCTTCAGGGAGCGAGTCGTCTTGTGTCCTGACGAGAGACGAGTCTTCTCGAGCATAGTGCAGCGAGCTTTCTTCGGGTATCGAGTCGTGCTGGTCGGGCGGCGGCGAGCCAATCTGTCGCAGTCTGTTCGCAAGCTCCGAGCCTCTGAAGTTGTGCGCCGGGTTCAGTGTCTGTCCAATCTCGAGTTCGGTGTTGATGAAGACGGGGCTGAACTGCTCGTTCTCAAACTCGATCTGGCCGCTCACCGTGCGAGCTGGTTCGGGCTGTATCGCAGAGAGCGACTCTTGGGCGTCTGTGCTCAATGCCTCCTGCTGCGAGTCTTGTCTATGGTGCACCTGGCTCCCCGTCTGCGAGACAGAGCGATCGAGCTCCGAATCATCGACGCTGGCGGGCGCTGGCCATGGCGGCGGGCTAGAGGGCAGCGCAGGCAGATTGGACAGGCCCCTCAGCACGGCCAGCTTCCGCTTCAGCTGCGGCTCCTCCTTGGCCGGCGTGCTCGTGGGCCTTGCAAACATGTTCTCGAGGCCGGTGGGGCCAAAGAGGTCCTTCTGCTCGCTGCCCTCGCCCCTGACCAGGCGGCGCTTCCATTCTGGCGTCTCGTAGTCGCCGCTCGCTCTCGCTGCCGATATCGCGACGGTGTTGTGGGCGACGGTGCCGTACAAGATGGACCCCTCGGAGGTGGTGGAGAAGGACTGTGACACGTCGCGCGCGGGGTAGAGGTGCGAGTCGTCGTCGTGCGCGGCGGGCGGGGGGTTGGAGTCGCTGTTGCTGCGCTCGGCGAGGGCGTTGCGCTGCTTGGTCGGGCGCAGGTCGCTGCGCACGTGGACCTCTGAGAAGGAGCCGGACGAGTGTCGGAGGCGGGGGAGGCGACTGCGCGGCTTCGGCGGCGCGCTCTGGGCTACGGGCGCGGGCGCGGGCGTGGGCGTGAGTGTGGGCATGGGGCGCTCTGCTGGCGGCGTTGACGGCTGCGGGACCCACTCCTCGCTCAGATCGTCGAGCCATGGCTGCGACATGTTGCCAAACATGACGGCGTCCGTTTCGCCGTTGACCGTGTCGCAGCGTGTGCCGAGGACGACGCGAGGTTTGTTGTTGTCGCACTGCCGGCAGCGGGCACGCGTTAGGACATAGACGGCTTCTGTGTGGGCGGCATGCGAACAGGACGGCCCCAATTGCGGCGGCAACTTGCGTGGGCGCGTAGCAAGAGTCGGTGAATCAACACAAATGGACTGGGTGGGCTTGTGTTCCCCAATGCACGGATGCGGTGAGGGCTGATCGACGCCCTAATCGATTGCGCGCTTGCTTGTCGCCCCGGGCAACGCCTCCGTCATGCCGCCCGCAAATCCCCCCAGACAGAGGAAGAGGAGCTGCGAAGTCTGGAGCCGCCGCACCGCATGCTGTCCTATGCACGCTGATCGCGAGTGACTTTATGCCCCACCTGCTTGCTTAGCGATTTGTCCTGTTTGTCCTGCCAGACACAATCCCGGTGTGGGTACGGAACATGCACGACAGCCCTACGCCACCTATTCTTGACATACATACAGCGGTCACGTCACCGCCCGCGACAGACCTCCACGGAATACTGCGGACCGACTTAGGGGCGATCAAAGAGGGGGAACACAAATCGCATGCGTCGTATACAGGCCATGCCCCCTACCCTTCATCCTTACCTCAAGCGGGGATTAGACTTCGACGCCTCAACTATCGACCCCAGGGACCTCGTGGAAGACCTGCCCGCCGAACACCGCGACGCACAGAACGAACCGGCGAAGCGGAGGAGAGTGGAGGCAATAGCGTTGCAGTATTTGCGGGGAGGCGCACCACTCATACTCACGGCTCGCCTCAAGGGCCCCTTCAACAGCAAGGAATGGCAGAACCCATGGGCAGAGAAGCAGAGGGAGGGCATGGGTGGGCCAAGCAAGCAGGCGGCCAAGCAGGCACTGGGACAGCAAAAGACGAGGTCCACGGCACCACAGGTACCTTCTCCAGAGGCATCAAGGGCCCTTGGACACACTGAAGAGCAGCTCTACAGCCAGCCAGACCTCGAACCGCTGCCAGCCACAGCTCTCATACCGGATGATGACGATCAGTCCGGCCCCACTGAATTCTTCAGCATCGACACGGAGCAGTTCATTGCCAACAAAAGTCCAACCAACCCCTTCTGGCTGCGCCGTCCTGCTACAAATATATCTTTCCCTACAAACAGTCAGACGGATATGTCCCCGAGCAGGGTGCGACAGAGAGATCACAGGTATAGCTCTCGGAAGAGCCTGCAGCTTGCGCTCCCGAAGGAGCCTCTAGAGGGTCGACAATTACCTATACATGCAACCCCACCAGACGAATGGCGATCGAGCGCTTCAGCCTCGATGGACATATCGAGCCCTGCCACCGCCATCAAGCACCAAGCGCTGGAGCAGGACCCGTTTCATACGTCCACAACCAAGAGCGTACCAGATTCTTCAAGATTACGAGAAGACTCGGCGCAAGAGGAAGAAGCTCGTAGTAGCCAGGTCGCTCAATACGCGCAATTTGAATCAGCTGCTGAGATGCCTACGAGTCTCTTGAAGGACTCGACGGCAATTTACCCAGAAGCCCACCTACCACAGCCACCTCACGCGCAGTCTTTCGACTCTCTCGTCCCAGCTACTACGTACAAGATGCCAAGTACAATACAGGTCCCTCAATCAAGCCCGACACACGGAGTTGCAGGAGCAGGGAGGCTTGCTGGACCTTTAAGAGAAGAAATACAAAGATCTGCGGAACGATTTGTTGGCTTCATGCCCAGGTCGACGCGGAAGCGGGGGCTGTCATCAGTCGACCGAACAGCTGTAACAGGATATAGCCTGCCACAAAAACAGCGCCACGATCTAGTCGCTTCACCAGCACCAGACTCTTCCACAGGCTTTATGTACAGGCGAGTCGGTCAACCAAAGGGTGGGACTGCTGGACAAAAAGCAAAGCCGAGAGCCGTCAGCTCCCGCTCGTCGTCACCTGCCAAGAAGAAGGACAAGGATTCTTCCGTCGCAGCCCCCGAGTCTATAGCTCCTGTCGCCGAGGTTGAAGCACTGGAAGACGTGCCATCCATTGTTGTCGCTGACGCAAGGGAAGAAAGTATAGTGCATCGAAACGAAGGCAAGACAGAGGTTCAGGAAGGCGAGCGGCAGATGGAAGAACAGCAAGAGTCGTACAGGTCGAGGCAGTCACAGTACTCCACCCAAGCCGCGATGCTGCTGGCACAGCTTGAGTTCCAAGAGGACTCGTCACAGTCCTTAATCTCATCCCTGACTCCACGGCCATGGTCACAACAAGCACAGAATACACCGCCGGCGCTTCTGCTTCAGCCCAGCCCTGCAATTACGCCTCTGTCGGTCTTCAATGCTCATACGGACCTCTCCTTCAGTGGCCTCGCTGGGAGTAATGTTTCGGATGGACCGCCGATTAGCACGCAAGATCTCTTCGACGCAGCATCTCCTTTTGCGTTCAGTACAGCAAAGAAGAAGAGTCAACGTCCGCGGCGGACTAGCATGCGATTTGCTCTGACGAAGCTGACTGAGAGCACGACTGTATTGAGTCCCACTCCATTGATAGAGCGAGTGCCTCTCAAGGAGAAGAACACATCCACAACATGGAGCGTCGCGCATGAAAGGTCGTCCATGAACTCACTGAAAGCCGCACCGCAATCACCTCAACGCACTACGAACGACGTTGAGTTACCCCAACTCGACTTCCACACGTCACTGGACTTCGGCCCAAACGCCGACTTTACTGACTACTTTCTAAAGGACTTGAACAATCAACCTTGAAGCAGTGTTGAACTGCCCAAGAAAGCGTTCGTTGCACCACAACGTCGGCCAGGGTTGTGGGTAAGTCATGCCGGCAAAAGGCTCGCTTGACACCCCATCACCTCACACTCGCTCTCAATAATGATACGTTCATTTACGGGTCGCTGATAACAGCGATCGAGAGCTGCAGTCGTGGTCGAGATAGGCAGGGTGCAGCAGCCACCTGGTTGCAGTTGCGGTGAGAGGCCACGTTCCTGAGTGATTGGGTGAAAACGAGTCATAGAGCCACGCCTTGCATATTGCTGCACAAGTGGCCCAGGGGGGAGGAGGCTTGTGTCTCCGCGACCGAGCTGGCGATGGGCGCTGGGAATGACCATGCTCGTAGGCTGGGCAAAGATTGGGTACGACGGATGGAAGGCGCGGAGGGCGGGAGCAACGTCTAGCTCGAACCAAGGGCAAACTATGACAGCTGGTTACAACCTAACGACGAATACTTGACGGTGTGCAGCAATGAAAACTATGTGCAATCCACTGTTGACGGTAATGCACGCCTGGATGGTCGCGATAAGGTTGCCGTGTCGTGCCCTCTGTGAGCCCCACTTGCAGCTGCCCAAGCCATAGGGGTGCCCGTAATTGCAGAAGGTGCCAGCGAGCAAACAATCGCGCAAGGGGGCCAGGCAGAAGTTACGCACCGGGTGAGCTGTCGTCCGCAATCAACACCACAATCGCAGCAGAAGCAGCGCTCGCTCTAAGTACTGCGCCCAACACACGCAGCGCGGAGGTCGTCACCAGTAGTGCAGTTGCACGCGACGTCATTGGCTTGAGCTTTCGCCAATTATCCGTGCGCCGCCTCTTGGAGGGTGACGGCCGTCCACACACGTCCTCTGCGAGCTGGAACGTGGGTCTGCCGCCATTCTCACTCGCTGCGCCCGACGCTCTGCACCGCGAAGACCTGCCCGCCGCCGCCTCGAAACGCCCGCCAGCGCGCCCGCCAGAGCGCCTCGCACCGCGCCCCTCGCACGCTAAGCCGGCCGAATTGTGCCCTTACCGCACCCAACGACGGCTGTCCTGGCCCGCCGCGACGTCTCCCAGGCCCGTCCGGCAGTATCTGCCACACGGTCTGTCACGCCTACCGACGAGGCCCTCTCAGCGCGCCTGACCAATGTCACCCCCATGTCACCGCATCTGGACGCCCAAGGAATTACCTCACCCCCCGCATCGGTGAGGTCAAATGCGCCGCAAACCCCGGGCTCAAGCCATGGCACGCCCACCGCTCCCCGGCACGCTCAAGAGCATCTCACGCCCGTGGCAACGCCCCGCAAGCTCTCGCAGACCGGCCGCTCCAAGACGGTGCCGATTGCCCCCAAGGAGAGCCTGTGGCAGTCGTCGTTCGATCGCCCGCAGCTGGACGAGCGCGACAGCATCTTCTCGACCACATATCTAGCCTCTGACAGTCCCATCTCGTCGCCGCGGTCCAAAGCAGCAGCACACACGACTGAGCCCGACGAAGATGCCCCCGAGCACCGCTTATCAGATGTGGCTGCACCAGCGCCGCTGCAGAGGAGTCTGATCGACCCGCCCTTCTTCCGCAGGAAAGAATCCACGTACCCACCAGTCGCGCTGCAAGACCCTCAAACCATTCTAGCGACGCAATTCGCCCAGCACGTCCCAATTGAATCTGTCATGGGTCTCGAAGTCGCCCGCGAGAGCCCGCCGCCCTTCATGAGCCCCGTCGACTCCCCTGTACGCCGGTCGTCGACGCCACACAATGCAGACGCCCACTCAGCCCTGAATAAGGCATTGTCCGATACCGAGGAGCGGCGCAGGAACAGAGAATGGCGAGAAGGCAAGCCGGTGCCGTTCAGAGGCAGTGCTCCTCACGATGACCCATCAGCAGACGAGCAAGCCGTGAAGAAGATAGAAGCAGCACTACCCAAGGCAGAGCAAACAGCTTCCGGACGCAGCCGGAAAGCAAGTCACTTCCTTCGTGTGTTCAAGGATGCAGAGGGTCCAGAAGAGCAGAAGCGGGATGCACGACCCAAGGACCGCCGACCCAATGATAAAATATTCTCCACTCTCTCTGAGGAGAATGAAGCCAGTGCTCCTACACAGTCATTACAGCAGGAATCCCGTCCATCGTCCATCGTCCAAACTCCTCTTGAGAGGACATCTGAGTCTTACTTTGAGATCCCTGGCTCAGTCTCTAAGAGCAAAGACTCAGCTCCTGTATCGATTGAGGAAGTAAAGTCGAACAAGCGTCATTTGCCACGGCCTCTCCTCGAGGAGATCAGAAACTTCACCAACCTGACACCTGGTGTTGTTCCTGGATCGTCCATGTCGAGGAGCTTGCCAGCTTCCATCCTAGATAAGCTCCATGCGCACGCGTCTAGATTGACAGGTCCTGGGTCTCACGAAGAGTCGGTTGATTACTTTCGGGCCAAGGAAAAGGATAGCACGAATCAGTCACCGGCATCTGAAGAAGATGAAGACTCCGAGCGCGAACAGATCTCGTCGGCTTTGTATTTCCCTCATCGGCAACACAAGGCGGCAGAGCCAAGCACCCCATCTGAAGAGACACGAAGACTCGAGCTGCCCCAGAACCGTAAGAGAGACTCAATTCATGCGGGCAAAGTACCCAGAGGTTGGGAAACAGGAGATGATGTTCAAACTCCTGAAGAAGTAGAAATTTCTCTACAGTCCCAAGATACCAATCAATGCCTACATGGTGACATTGCTGCGACAGCATCAGTGCAGAAAGAAAACGACAAGCCGTTGACATCTGCGTCGTCCGATGCAGTTCCAGATGAATCTGAATCTGAAATTGAGTCGCTAGCAGAGTCCACGCAGTCACTTCTTGGCTATGAATCGAGCGCGACTGACGACCTAGGAACGACACCCACTGCAACGATGGTCAAGTCGGAACACAAGCCTGTAACAGCTCAAGCACCTGCTCCAGTAGCGCAGCCACCGGCACCACTTGGTGCTGTGGAGTTGAAACCGTACAACCATCAGGTTGGCGGTCATTCTACGGTGTATCGCTTCTCAAGAAGAGCCGTGTGCAAACAACTCAACAACCGCGAGAACGAGTTTTACGAGACGGTCGAGAGGCACCATCCTGAGCTGCTAGATTTTCTGCCAAGGTATGACCATCACTATGAGAGCATTTTGCTTTGATACTGAAACACCAGCAAAGATGTTGGCCCTACTCTATGTGTATAATGCAGATCGCTAACGTTATGCTGTCACTTTAGGTACATCGGCGTTTTGAACGTGACTTATCGCAAAGCGCCAAAGAAGAAAAAGAAAGACAAGACAAAAGCAGATCCAGAATCCACAGCTTCAGCTGCTCCGCCTAGTGGAACTACCAAGGAGCCAGCTTCCCAGGAGACGAAAGCGGAGGATCAGCCCAGGGTTGTTAGTCATTCGCAGCAGCAAACGCCTGCACCGCAGGTTATTTTCGCGAACAACCGACATATCATCCCCGACAACTTGTTTGGAATGCCACCGAGATCAGCTACACCGGATCCATGGACAGGCAGCGGTTCCTTCTCCTCACAGTACCACCGAAGGAACCAAAGTGTGCAGGACTGGCGCTCGAACGGCCCAGATAGACCTCCGATGAGGCACCATAGCAGTTGGGGTGTTACAACCATCAATCGAAAGCTGCAAGAAGAAGTGCTTCGTCAGGTGTTTGCACCTCCCACTATCCATCTTCGTCAGCGTCACCAGCACCACGGTATTAGCACTCGCAGATCAGGTAGCGATAATGCGCAATCTGTGGCAGGATCTGCGCCGTCTATGAGACGCAACAGCACAGACGTGTCTGTTTTGCAACCAGGACGCGAAGAGTCTCCGCGCAAGCAGATTTTGAGAGCAAATGCGGAGGCACGTCGGCAAGCTTCTGATGTAAGCGATCTTGCTGTGAGCTTCGGGTCGCCAGAGGAGCTTAGGTCGCGGAATGCAGACTCGCTGCAGCCGCCATCGAGCAATGTCCCTCGACGAAGGCACTCCGGCAGCGGACTTGTACGGAGGCCACTCGGACTGGACTCGGATCGAAGACATAACCTCGAGTTCTATGAAGAAGATGGCTATGGAGGAGATGGAGAAGAGGAGGTCTTCGCTATGGACGAAGACCGAAAGCCACTCTCACCCACAAAAAGCGACATGAAGGATCAGCCTGCGCCTTCCGGTAATGTGCCAAGTCTGGGAAGCTCTGCGTCTGAACCGGAAGCCTTGATGCTCCCAGCTCCTGTCATAACTAAGAAGAAGGCAGAGCCACCAGCGATTGGTGAACCCTCAAACCCCGAAGAAGCCCAGCAACAGCCTGATGAGCGTGTACAGCACTTCATTCTACTTGAGGACTTGACCGCAGGCATGTCTCGACCTTGCGTTTTGGATCTGAAGATGGGCACCCGTCAGTATGGCGTCGAGGCTGATGAGAAGAAACAAAAGTCGCAACGTCGCAAGTGTCAAATGACCACCAGTCGGGAGCTTGGTGTGCGCGTTTGCGGCATGCAAATTTGGAATGTGAAGACGCAAAGCTATCTTTTCGAGGACAAGTACTACGGCCGTGACCTCAAGGCTGGTAGAGAGTTCCAGGACGCGCTGAAGAAATTCTTCTGGGACGGCACTGGCTACAAGGCGGCTAATCGACACATCCCTGTGATTCTAGAGAAGATCAGTCAGCTTGAACGCAAGATCAGGAAACTGCCAGGCTACAGATTCTACGCCAGCAGTCTGCTCATGCTGTACGATCGAGGCGACGGCGAGTATAAAGAAAGGGAGGCTTCGTCCCAACAGAACGGCGTGACCACACCGAGTGGCGATGACCTATCCGCTGCGCCGTCAGCTGCGCCCTCTGGCCCGACGTCCCCCGGACCAGCGCCCACATCGAGCGCGGCACCACCAAAGGATAAGCCAGAGATTAAGCTCAGGATTGTCGACTTCGCCAATTGCGTCACCGCCGAGGACACGCTTGAAGGCGCATCATGTCCGCCAAAAGACCCTGATGAGGTAGATAGGGGCTACCTGCGCGGATTGCGGTCGCTGCGGTTGTATTTCCAACGCATCTACCATGACATCAACGAAGAGTGGGTGGAGCGCGGCGAAGGTGAAGGCATGGCTCGCGGAAGCCATCACCACGGACCCGGACTTGGCGAGGCTGGAGCCGGATGGATGGACGAACCTGGTGGTGAAGACACGGGATACGTCAGTTTTTGAGGAGATCGTCTCAGTTGCGCCAGCGTGGAGGGAGAGTATTGTGTTACTTAAGATACCATGTGAAGTTTGGTAAGTTCTCCAGCGCATTGTGAGTTTATCCAGCATGGCGTTTGGTGTTCGCGCAAGACAAAGTATCGAAATTGTAGTTTTGGGCATGCATCGGAGTACTGCTTTGCATAGGCGGATCACTGGTCAGGGAGAGTTTGGGTACGGTCTATTTGTTGTATAGTATACTTAGAGTGATATTTGTCGTGCAAGCGTAGCAATGCAGCAATTGTAATCAAATATTATTCTTCGCTCCTGCCGTGTTGTTTTTGTAAGATGTTAAAGGCAAGCACGCTAGCGAGGTGGGTTTTGGCGATTTCTCATGGTTGTCGACCGCCAAAAACAACACCCCAAGACTGTCAGCCTCACAATCAGCCTTGCGTCATCATGCCGCCTCCGCCAGACGACGTCCTGCTCTCGGTACGTGCCTAATGATGTTCAAATGGCCACACGGCGGCCTAGCTAGACTTCGCTTCTGACATCCACATAGATGCAGTCATCTCTCCGCAATGCCCTGGCGTCCTTCGGACCTGACAGTAGACAGTACCTCATGATCAAGCACATGGTCGCTGAATACGAGGCTAAGCTTGCCCTCGAGAGCTTGTCGTTGGAGATGGATGATGGAATGGAGCGTTGAGGCTGGGAGGCGACGAGCGGGCCGACATAGAAGGGAATCGACTTGGCGCACTTGTTCTGATGTCCAGATACGAACCGTACCTGCGAAGTCTTTGATGAGTTAATTTGGCTGGACTGCTCTATCGGCCCTTGTATCGTCTATCCCATGCTGCCTCACGCTCAACGCTTGGCTGCCACTACACCATCGGATCTGGGCGCATTCACCATCGGATCTGGCAAATTCTTATGAGGGGTCTGAATCTGCCGAATCAAGACCCTATGCCCTGTGGCAACCCATCACGTGTCTACCGCTTTCACGCATTTCTATCACGCTATTGGACAATACCTGGACGGAGTCACGTCCGTTCCCACATCCGCGGTGGGCATCCAGAGAAAAATAAGCCTCGCCTCCGCCGGTGTACAGCCTTACTTCAAGTCGGCAATCTTCCTCTCTCAAGCCTCATTTATGGTAAGCTCGTCCTCAAACATGTGACTCGCCGACGGCGCAAATCTGTAAAGCTCTAGCGGCGGAAGTGTTCGGTCGGTGAGCCGTCGACCACACGGAGTAGACCCCGCAAGTTCGCGCTCGGTGGTGATCAGCACACGCAAAACGTCGATTGTCGACGTTCAAAACTTAGGAGTTGCTGAGCAGGCGATGTCCAACGGCTGCAAGGACTACTACTAGTGCACATGCAAGTATCGGTCCTCCTCTGCAGCATACGTCAAGGCGTCCTTTCAGTCAAAGCTCAATGATTGTCCACTTTGCGACTCACATATCCGTGCCTCTGGATCGTAGCAGCCACAGTTTAATATTTGTGGCCGGCAACATTTCTTTCGTTTGATAATACAACCCTATACCGGGCATGGAATTCATCGCATGGATATGTCTTTCCTGGGGACTGGTAGTGCAGGCCGCACCTCTGTCAAAAGAGGACGCACTTGAGATCAGGAATAACGAGAATATACACATCATAACTGGCGAGCCGGCCAGAGATCGGACAATATTCGTGGTCGTGGCTATCTTTTGCACAACAATCCTTGCCTTCCTGCTGGGTATGAGGCCTCCCAACCACAGCAATTGCATGAAGACTAACATGACCGTAGGATCTCGTATACGCCGGTTGAATCGAGGCATCCGATCAAGACGAAACTTTATGGCACCCCTCCTCCTCGCCATATACATCACGGTCGCATGCTACATCATTATATCCGCAGCATTGGTGTCTGGGCAAGGGCTATACACGTACAAGCTTTGCGACGCTGGGACGTGGGTGTGCTTAATGTTCTACATCATGGCCAAAGGTTTCGTGTACGCCTTTCTGGTTGAACGCGTCCACATCGTCCGCGCGCCTTTCGTTAGCCGCGGCAAAGATAAGGTCTACATCGCCTGCCTTGTTCCCGCGATGATCATGTATACCGGCATATCCCTTAACTCGTATTTCTGGCGCGTCACCGCAATGCACGAGTCGGATGGCCGTTGTCACTTTGGCATCGAGAGCCAGGCGTCGATACCGATCCTGAGCGTCAACATCATCACGAACGTTGGTCTTACTGGTGTGTTCTTCTACCTCCTGCGACCAATTATCAAACTTCATGGCATGCCCACCGTTTCTGCTGCACTCTCGCGGACCAGCAAAACAGAGCCAGTAATTGCGAGAGGTGAGACGGCCGTCCAGAGGAACATCAAGACTTTGTTAACGAAGAGCATCATCGGCGCAATCTTGATCGAGCTTCCCGTGGCAGCGAACATGATACAGTTCCTCGTCACAGGTGGCAGGGAATTGGGCATGATGTGTTTGGCCTTCTGTATGGGCGACGTGTTCTGGGATGCACTGGTCATTCACTGGCTAACTTTTGGGTCATCGGCCGCGGCCGAGAAGGATTTGCTACGCTCGACAGACGCGAGCTCAAGGCGGGCATTGACAAGACAGCAAAGCAATACTCCATCAAGAGCAAGTAGTCAGCGAGAGGTGAGGGAAGTACCAGTGAAAGCACCTGAGCCGGCGTTTGCGCAAGCTCCGGATCCTGAGATGGCAATTTGCCATGAATCAGCCAAAGGGCCGTTCTCGTTGCGGCGATGAGACACGCAACAATACACATGATTCCAAGTTCAACCACGTGTTCCTATTCTGCTGCGGACTTTATCTACATTTTCCCCGCGAAACCCACGCGGCCGAAAGTCTGTTCCCCGGGTGGCGTATATTGGTCCGGAGCTCGGTCCTTCGAGCGCTAACAAACGTTGAACTTACAAATTATTGAAGAGCTAACTAGTGGACTCGGCTAGAGTGATATGCCGAAACTTAGGATGCGATTGACAGACCATAACGTAGGGCGTTGCTCGGATCATTTGTCATGAATTGTGAGTACTTGGCATGTCACCATGTCCAGGTCACCATGTCAAGGTGAAGTCAGCAGCTCTCAAGTTCCGTCACGAGCCCACCATGAGGAGGGCACGCCAGTAGTAAGCGAGGTACTGCCGTTGCAGTCAAGTCGCTGGATATGCGTTCTTCAAATATTATAGGCAAGGCTCTTCGACATTGCGGACCATAATCAGAGCATCCAGTCGAGGGGACTGCAACGTTTCCATCAGCGCAAATCCGCCTCGCATGCACATGAACTCGGCCTGTAACACCTCACCAACTCAGCCGGACGCAGCACCACGGGCCTGCGCGTCTTCGAATACCCGGGCTATCGCGCGTCTGGCAGCCACCGACATGCCGTTTTCCTGGATGCATTAGACCCTACACTACACCACACTACACATGCACAGTCGTGGAGTGGTGGTGGTTGTAGAAACGGGGCGAGTCGATAGACGCCGTGCTCGACTTGAAATGCACATGTGACCTCGGCAGCATGTGGCGCTGCATAGCGCAGGCAATCGTTGACGGGCGGTATTGCACAGCTGAGCAGAGGAGTGTGAGAACACCTCGCACGACGCGATCAGAACGTCAGTGTCTTCGCGACCGTCGTGGCTTCAATGCACGGGCTCGTGGTGGCCAGCCGTTGTAGTCGATTTCGACCTCACATTCACGCGCTTACCCAACAAGGTAGGAATAAAGCCTATGTAGGTAACTGCCAGACTCGAACAGGTGATCCACCAAGTCAATCTGCGGTCGCTGAGTCCCACTTAACTGATCGTTGAGAACTGTGGTGGTGGCCCTTGCCGACATTACCAAAGGACCCCTTTTTCCGCAGACGCAGGTCAGTCCACCACGCATGCTGGAAGTCTCGCTCCGTGATGTGGTACATTGCACCGCTGGTGACACGCACGACCTGGAAGCCGGTGGTGTCGACACACTGGCAGCGGAGCGCGACGCGTTCGCCCGACGCAAATCGGCACGCCAGGACTAGCAGCACGCCAGGACTAGCAGCACGCCCGGGCTCCGTTTGAAATGCTCCCATGGCGCCAGGCCGCCTGCTATCTTCCAGGTCGCAAGCTGGTTTGTGGCGAAGGGGTGCCACGGCAGGACGGGGGCGGATACCTTGACGCCGTTGTTTGTCAGTGCGAAGGTGGTGTGCGTCGACTGGGAGAACATGTGCGTCGACGACTCAAAGTCCCGGGAGTACCTCGCGAATGCCGATATGCCTTGTTGTTCTGATCGGTTCGCAGCCAAGCGGGTTTCGTGCTTGCTTGGTCTCCACGCGAAGAGACTCTGGTCGTTGGTGTTGCTCATGATCTCTTCCTGAAGGCGCACGAATGCCTTGCTGCCTTACGCCGTATAGGAGCGGCATGTTGATGTCGAAGATTCCGAGCATGCTGCACGCCACGCCCTCGATGCGCGTGGTGACGCGGTTTGCCGCCCAGCTCATCCTGTGCGCGATGCTCAAGGTTCCTAGCTCCGTTTCCCCGCTCAAGACTTTGGCGTCGACCCCTGTCATGACTGCCATGGCGGTGGCAATGGAGCTTTGTGCTTTCGTCCCTATACATTTCACCTTTGGTCGTAGAGTGCCATATGCGGTGGTGCGAAGAGCTCTTGCAGCGTCCACCCTCTTGTGGACCGCCTTGCGCCCGTCAGATCTTCGAAAATGTCCTCGCCACCATGTGTGACGTCTTGAAGGAATGCGTAGCACACAAAGGACTGCCGGTACCATCGGAACGTGCTGTTGATGGCTTCGCTCAGCTCCGCTGATGACTTTTTATCAACGCAACACGTGTCCACCCACGCGTAGCAGAGGTTTTCCTTGAGAGCCTGCTCACATGTCTTGCGTATATTCCAGGCTCCAAGACCATCTAACTCGTTCAGTTTGCGGATGTGTTCAAAAGTGACCTCGGACTCGCCCCAAGTGTGGGAGAGGATGGCGTAAGGTGGGATGCGCGCTTCATCGTCAAAGCGCTCAAGCTTCAGTGTGTAAGCATCGATCGGATACATGCTTGAGGGAAGGCGGCCTAGACCAAAGAGGAAGGAGAAGTTGGTGCTAGTCGGAGCAAGTGCGGACCACGACGCTGACGAAGGAGGCAGGCGGGCGCATGTTCAGCCGTCTCAGCCTCGATCTTGGATGTGAACAGGTCGACTTTATTTCCCTGCCACAACAATTAACGGTTACAAATACATCAAAGTAAGCTTCGATACCCTCCTGGCTGGGTAGGCCGGAGCTGGCCCTAAACATTCCCATTGGCATCTGCGCTTCCATGGTCGCACGCTTGAGCGCCGCTCAAGTATGACAATCCATCGCACCACTGGAAACAAAAGGAACCAAACTCTACTTCCGCGCCATGCTCGAACTACAACTCGTCGTGAACTTGTCGTGGGTGCACGTGGATCCGGTTCGTGGGCGGCCTGACAGCGAACCCTGGCGCCGTTCCCGCCCGCTTGGCATCTCCATGACCATCGCGAAGCAGTCAGCAACCATGCACCACAGCCCAACGCTGGAGAATATAGAGATCGAGCCGCATCTCCACCTCGAACAACTGCACGTGTGACATCATATGCCGCAACCTCACAAGGAGAAATTACATGCCGCTTGTGATGAATGCCGTAAGCCACCCTCAAACTCCATTGTGATTCGTGACTTGCCAGGCTTCATTGACAGAAGACGTGGCTAACGTGCAAAGGGACGCGGAAGTTGAAGTGCTCGGGCGACAAGCCGTGTTGTGGAAGATGTCGGAGGGAGGAGATGGAGTGTGTGTACTCGCCAAGGAAGACCATGGGGCGGCCGAGGAAGAGAAGGAGGGAAGAGGGGGACGAGCTGGACGATGGAGCGGCAACTATAGCTATCCAGGATGGTCACGAAAGCATCGACGGCTTCACCGGCTTCGGACTTGTCGATATGCCGGAGTTTGCGCTGCACGCTGAGAACGAGGTGTACGCTCAAGACACGAGTCTGGCCGGCGTTGCCATCTACGAACCGTCGCCCCCAACGACCAATCTCGAGGAAGCAACCCTTTTATTCCAACACGCGGATGCTCACGACCAAAGCTTCGTCGACACGTCCCTAATCGACCCCTCCCCAATCGACACGTCCCTAATCGACCCCTCCCCAATCGACACGTCCCCAATCGACCCCTCCCTCTGGGACGCCCAAGCAGCCCCCTCCACGCAACCCAGCTACGCAGCCGCCATCCAAGCCACGCCGCCCTACCACGCAGCACTGGGCCCGTGCATCTGCCTCTCACTCACATACCTCACCCTAACAGAGCTACAAACCGTCCCGACGCTCTCCTTCCCACGCGTGCTCCAGCCCCTCCGCCACGCGAGCGGGACAATAGCAACCGTCCTCCGCTGCCCGACATGCCCACTCGACCGCTTCAGCGCAATGCAAAACGTATCCAGCATCAGCGCGCTCTTCAAAGCACTCCTGGAGCGCTTCAGCAACGCGCTGCGCGAGATAGACGCCGAGGCGGACCGTCTGCGGGCCGCGCGCGCCACGAAGCCGTTCCGCATGGGCGACGGGAGCCCCGCGCTCGCGCACCTGCACACGGGTGCGCCCGATTGCCCGCTGGGCTTCGATGTCGCGCTTGATCCGGATGTGTGGCGCGCGCTTGTCAAGACTGCGCTTAGGGCGGAGGTCGACGGCGGCGGGAGTAATCCAATGCCGCTTGCGGTGCTGCTGGAGGAGGCAGAGGAGAGGCAGGGGAGGTGGCATCGCGACGAGAGGTTTCTTGGGGGGGAGGGAAGGGGCGAGGATGGGGGGAAGTGTGAGAGTTTGGGCGCGGAGCATGTTAGGCGGGCGATGGGCATGTTGGACTGGTCGTGAAGGGGGGCAGACTCTGATGCGATGCGATGCGATATGATGCGATGTGATGCGATATGATGTGATGCAATACAATGTGATGCGATGCGATGTGATGTGATGCAATACAATGTGATGTGATGCGATGTAGTGCAATGTGGATATCTCGCCATGCACACACTGGCCAGACGGCTTAGCCAAGCAGCCTGGCAGCCATGTCTTCCATGTCCTCGAGCGTTTCCGGCTGCTCGACCACGTGCCGCGCGTCCCTGCCCCTTCTGCGCTTCTTCCTGCTGCTCCCCGCGTCGTCTTCCGAGTCGGACTGGAACCATTTCTTCGGCTTCTTGTCGACCAGTTGCGGCGCTTCCTCGGCATCGTCGTCCCCGTCGTCCGCGTCGCTCGACTCGGCGTCGGCTCTGAACTGCGCGAGCAAGTCTTCGCCGTTGTCCGGGAGCTGGAGGCCGCCGTCCTCGTCGTCAGACGCCGCGACCAGCTCGCCTCGCTCCTTGTCCTTGCGTTTCCGGAGCTTCTCCCTGCGCTTCTCGCGGGCCGCGGCCTTGTCGTCGACGTCAGCTTGCTCGACAACCTGGCGCGCCTGCTCGACAAACTTCTGTCGCTGCGCCTCCGGCAGCCCGCGGGCCTTGAAGTCGGCCTCGTTCTCCAGCTCGTAGACCGCGTGCGGGTTGCCGTCGTCGTCGTACACAATCTTCTTGCCCTTGTCCATGAACTGCAGCAGCTTCTTCTTGGACTTGAGCAGCTTCTCGCGGCGGTTCGAGTCAATGACCAGGGGCTGCGAGGCGCCCGCGAGGTTGACGACCTTGCCGCCAGACAGCGATGGATCGGTGGTCTCGTCGATGCCAAAGGTGTCGTTGTCGGCGGCGGCGTCGCCGTCGTCGCTGTCGGCGGGGATGCGGCGCTTGACGGCCATGAAGTCGTCGTCGCCGTCGTCGACGTCGCGGACGAGCTTCTTGTAGTGCTCTGCGAGAACGTCCTGGTTCTGGCGCTCGAACATGCGGTCGTACTTTGTTCGCACGGGCTTCGCGTCCTTTGGGTCTTCGTCGTCGTCCGAGTCGTCTGATGGTTCCGTCTTCTCTCTGTTTGCCTGCTTCTTCGCTTTGCTGTCGTCGTCTTGCAGGAACTTGATCCGCGGTGTTCCCGGCAGACCCAGGCTTGCGGCGTAGGCTTCGAGGTTGTACTCGCTCAGCTTGAAGACGTCCTTGTCTCTCTGCAGGTAGAGCGACTTGACGTGTGTCATAAAGGCCTTCTGGCCGAGGTACTTGATCGAGGCATCCTTGAAGTTCATGCTCTGTAGCTGCTCCCGGATGCAAGTCCTCTTCTTCTGGCGCACGTTGATGACCTCGATGGGGACCTTTTTCTGCTCGAGGCGCCGGAGCATGCCCTCCTCCTCGCTCGGTGCCAAGAACAAAACACCCCGGCCCTCGCGGTTGTAACGGGCGGTGCGGCCAACGCGGTGGATGTACGTGTCGACGTCGTCGGGGCAGTCGACCTGGATGACGAAATCGACGGCCGGGAAGTCAAGGCCGCGGGCGGCGACGTCTGTCGCGAACAGACAAGAGTTCTTGGCGGCCGAGAATTTGGCAGTCGTGTCCAGGCGAGCACCCTGCTTCTGGCGACCGTGGATGTGGAGCAGTGGGATGCCGGGCTGCATGTGGCGGAAAGACTCGTAGACGAAGCGCACCGTCTTGGCCGAGGAGAAGAAGCACAGAATCTTGGACTTTTTGCTCGCCTGCAGGAAGCTCCACAGCGTGTCCATCTTGTCCTCGATGGGGCAGACAATGTAGTTTTGCCGGAGGCCGTTGGGGGTCGCGCTCTTGTCCTCGCCGTGAACGGACACGTACTCGGGCTCGTGGAGGCTGAGGCGGGCCAGGTCCGACACCCTCCTCGACTGGGTTGCGGAGAAGAGCAGGGTCTGGCGGTCCCTGGGGAGGTATTCGACAATGGCATCGACGTCCTTCTGGAAGCCCATGTCGAGAATGCGATCGGCCTCGTCCAGGACCAGCATCTTCAGGTCGTCGACGTGGAAGGCTGCCGTCTGCGACAGGTGCTGCAGCATGCGGCCGGGGGTTGCGACCAGGATGTTCATTCGCGTCAGCGCGTCGCGCTCGGCCTCGAGGCTCTTCCCCCCAATCAGCAGCCCCGCGGCGAACATGTGGCCGTGTCTTCCAATCTTGCGCAGCACGTCGAAGATCTGGATGGCGAGCTCGCGCGTCGGCGAGAGGATCAGGGCGCCGAGGCCCGCGTCGGCGCCCACGTGCTGGAGGCGGTACAGGTTCTCGAGGACGGGGAGGATAAAGGACAGCGTCTTGCCGCTGCCCGTCTTTGCGGCACCGAGTATGTCGTGGCCCTGGAGGGCAAGCGGGATGGCCTTGGCCTGGACGTCGGTCATGACGGCGAAGTGGCATGCTTTGAGGCCGGCCTTGGTCGGCTCGGAGAGGGGCAGGTCGGTGAAGTCGCTGTAGGAGCCCGACTTTGGTTCCTGTGCGCGTCAGCAGGTCGGCTCGAGCAGGGCGTTGTCTGCCGTCGTACCAGCGCCGCAACGGCCGCCTCCAGCTGCTCGACGTCGACATGGTCGCGCTTGCGCTTGGTGGCAGAGGTCTGCTTTGCAGCCGTCGTGGGCCGCGTGCGAGCGGAGATTCGTGCGCCGCCCATGGTTTCAGTGCACGTCGCGCAGAATTTTGGCAGAGCAGCGCGGGAGCGGTGAATTTTGGTGCAGCGGAGCGGTGAATTCTGGTGGCGCGGCGCGGTGAATTTTGGTGGCGCGGCGCGGTGAATTTTGGTGGAGCGGCGCGGTGAATTTTGGTGGAGCGGCGCGATGAATTTTGGTGGAGCGGCGCGACGAATTCTGGTGGAGCAGCGCACAGGCTCTCTCGAGCGGGACGACCCCCGCCGTCTTGTCGCGCCGCGTGTTGGACGTCGACACGACAGCCGACCGCTTCGTCCACCCGACAAGCGACAGCAGTCCTCACCCGCCGACGACAGCAGTCCACATCCCGGGCAGCAGTCCACATTGCCCGGCGACAGCAGTCCACATCCCCCGGCGATAGCAGTCCATATTCCCGGGCGACAGCAGTCCATACCCCCCGGCGACAGCAGTCCACACCCCCCGGCGACAGCATGGCGGACGACATCGAGGCCGAGCTGGCGGCGGCAGGCAAGGAGCTGGACAAGGTGCGTCGCCGTCGCGCAGACGCGCACACGCACACGCACACGCGCCGCTGACAGGCCGCCAGGACGAGGAGATTGAGCGTACGTCGGGCGCAAGCCGCACCTGCACCCGCACCTGCACCCGCACCTGCACCCGCACCTGCACCCGCGCCCGCACCTGCGCCCGCACCTGCGCCCGCGCCGCTGCATGCTGACGGCCCCCAGGCATCCGCAACGTCTTCAGCCTCAACGCCTACGCCGTGCTCGACCTGCAGCCCGGCGTGCCCGACGCGGACATTAAAAAGGCCTACCGCGCCAAGTCGCTGCTCATCCACCCCGACAAGACGCCCAACCCCAACGCGCCCGACGCCTTTGACCGCCTCAAAAAGGCCCAGACGGTGCTGCTCGACGAGAAGCTGCGCACCCGCCTCGACGAGGACACGGCCGACGCCCGCATGCTGCTGATGCGCGACCGCAAGCTGACGGCCGACGACGCCGAGACGCGCAGCCCAGAGTTCCTCGCCGCCTGGCGCGACAAGACGGCCTGGGTCATCCGCGACAACGAGCTGCGCCGCCAGCGCCAGATGAAGGCCCAGATGCGCGACGAGGGCCGCCAGCAGCGCAAGGACGAGGAGGAGGCCGTCGACCGCAAGCGCAAGCGCGACCACGACCAGGCCTGGGAGAAGTCGCGCGACACCCGCATCAACAGCTGGCGCGACTACCAGCAGGGCAAGCAGCCCGCCGACGGCGATGCCAAGAAGAAGAAGAAGAAGAAGGTCAAGGCGCTTGGCTGAGCTGGGCTGGGCTGCAGCAGGGAACAGTACACCGCACCTCACGCCGTCGACCTGGAGTCTGGCGATGCAGGCAGCAGGCAGTAGGCAGTAGGCAGCAGGCAGTAGGCAGCAGACAGCAGACAGTAAGCAGCAGACAGCAGACAGCAGACAGCAGACAGTAGGCAGCAGACAGCCGACACGAACAAAAAGCCCACACTCGCTGGTCGTCTTACTCGGATACCCCGTCGTGCACCGCGGCCTCGCACGCGTGACCATGGATTCTAGATGCGTAGAGTAGAGTAGCTATCGTACATTTATGCCCACGCTCTCCCGCTCTCCAAAGTCACGGGCATGTGCATCCACGCATGCATCCACGCATACATCCACACATACATCCACACATACATCCACTTGCCCTGTCATGCCGTGCTTGCGCGTCCACCAATGCCTCGCATGCTCGGCCCAGTCTGGTCCAGTCGAGCAAATCCGGGCCCTCCTCCGCCACCGCCATGGCACCTCCAGCGCGACGCACCAGACCCCGCAACGTACGCGTGCGCGTGCACAGAGCAGAGCCCTCGGTGCGGACAGAGCAGAGCCCTCGGTGTGGACAGACCAGAGCCCTCGGTGCGGACGGCTAGACGACGTCGTAGTCTGGTGCACGAGTCCGGCACTGGCTCGAACGCAGATGCTTCCGTGGCCGCGCGCTGCAAGTCACCGCGTGCATGACGCGCCGCCCCTGCCGCCGCCGCTGCACGACTTCCGCCGCCTCCTCCTCCGGGCCAATGGAGCGCGTCGCGGGCGCGCTTATTGAACGCCCGCAGCCACCGTCGGTGCTTGGAGGCGAAGACAAGACGTGGACCTCAGTAGGTCATTACTTGGTAAACCTTTGTAAACCTTTGTAAACCTTTGTAAACCTTTGTAAACCTTTGTAAACCTTTGTAAATCTTTGTAAACCTTTGTAAATCTTCTTCGTAAACTACCTGCTCTGCTCTGCTCTGCTGTCAGGCCCGACTATCCTACAGAGACCACACCGTGTCTCGTCTAAATTGCCAGAATGCGTGCCGGTGGACACGGCTGTGCCATAATACATGTCGGTGGACACGGCTATGCCAGAATACATGCCGGTGGACACGGCTGTGCCAGAATGCATACCGGGACTTGGCACGGAAACAGCAGGCCTTGCGCAAAGGCAACAACACGCGTGCATCGGACCCGTCGAGAATGATGGCGTCCGTGGTATCTCAAATTCAAGGACGGAAAACGTGTCTATCGTGTGTCGTACAGGACGACGCGGGGACTTGCACATGGCGGTGCGCTTCGTCCTGTGGGGAGCGGGTGGTGAGGCGCGACTGGGATGCTGCAGTCGGCAACGGGATGCCAGGTCTGAAACGGACGACTGAACACGTCGTACCACGTTGAACGGGTTTTTCGACCGTTGTTGAGCCGTCCAAGGTCAACGGTCATCGCCACTTTCCCTGCTTCTGTCCTGCTCCAGCACCGAGTGGGTATTCAATCGTCACCGCCACTCACTCTCCCTCCAATCTTACTCCGGCTCCTCGTAGATTCAACCGTCATCGCCCTTCCATCTACCCCAGCACCTCATGAATATTCAACCGTCATCGCCCTTTCATCTACCCCAGCACCTCATGAAGATT